AGACACGCCCAGGGCTGCTGCTGGGACTTGGAAATGGAAACAGCTTTTTTTTTTTTTTAAATGTTTTTATGATTTTAGAGAAAGGAAGAGAGAGGGAGGGAGACATCGAAACATTGATGAGAGAGAAACATCGATCAGCTGCCTCCTGCACACTCCCTATTGGGGATCGAACTGGTGACCTCCTGGTGCACGGGCCGATGAGCAACCAACTGAGCCACACTGGCCGGCAGCTTTTTCTTCTTTAACCCCCAAGCACATTTTTTTCTATTTGCCGTAATGGTTGGGCCTGGACCACCAGGACCAATTCTAGGTCCTCCTGGTCTCGCACCTGCCGTTACCTCGGACACATGCCTGTGGGCCACTTGACCAGCTAGCTTTGCCTGCTGACCACTGTGGGTCCCTGCAGCTGCTGGCTGTGGTCTTGGCCCATCTGAAGCAAAGGTGGCAAACAGTAGCCCATAAAGCAAACTGTGGCAACATTCAGCTAGCAGACTGTTTTGGCACAGCCGGTACTCCCAGTGAACATAGAATGTTTCTTACATTTTTAAAGGGTTGTAAAATCAAAGAAGAATACACAATAGAGACTGTATGTGGCCTGCAAAGTCTAAAAATATTTACTCTCTGACTCTTAACAAAACCAGCATGACCCCCTGCAGACGGAAGACCCCCTGGGCATCACCCTGGGAAGGCACCTGCACCTGCCTTAGCCAGGCCGGGTGCTGGGAGCCGTGATCTGAGCTGGCTGAGGAGGGGCTCCCTGGGGAGAGAGGGACCAGGGCCAGATCAGGCTGACTGTCTGAAGGCAGAGGCCACTCCCCGGGCCCAGCTCAGGGACAGGCTTGGCCTGGTTCACAGATCTGAACCCCAAACCTCAGAGGTCCCTCGGAGACCCTCTGTGCAGCACTCACAGGGTACAGAGGGAAACCGAGGCCCAGAGAGGCCCAGGCACCAGCTCCATGTCCAGGGCTCTCTCCCACTTCCCCTGCAGATGTTGGAAGGCCCTCCGCCCTGCTCCGCCCCGTACTGCTCAGTTGTTCGCTTCGCTCATTCATCTGTTTAGTCGACATTCACAAAGGGCCGATCACTTTGCTCACTAGCGCTGGGTGTCGAGGGACCTCAGGGCACAGCAAAGGGCGGCTGGTGGTCCCAGGTGCTCTGGGGAGGGGGCGTACTTCCAGCAGAGGAGAGAGAGGCCCTGCGTGGTCCTGGCCGTGTCAGTGAGCACACTGCTTGCCGAGGACGGCACACGTGCCGTGGGCTTGGCTGTGAGGGGCTGGAAGCAGGGTCGCGCGGGGGCTTGGGGCCGGCTGGCAGACCACACTGCCGCAGATCATGCAGCAGGGCAGTGGCCAGCTGGATTGGTTTCAGAAAGCCCCGTCTGGCTGCCGCCTGGAGGAGGCATGGGAAGAGGGCCAGGAGCCGACTGGGGCTTGTTGAGGAGGGAGCTCCTGTCATCAGAGAAGGTGCTGGCTGGCCTCCCTTTGAGGGGGGTCTGCACCACCTGGCCCACCTGGCCACGGGATGATGTCTCCCCGAGGCCTCCACCCTGCCCCTACTCCCTGGGCACCCACGAAGCTCCCTGCTGAGTTTCCCTGGGAGGAATGCCTTCTTGGGCCTTCATGCGATTGTAGACGGGCATTTCATGAGCTGCTCATTTGGTTTTTATTTTCACTTTCTAAACTTGTGGAACGAAACCGGCTCTCCTTTTATTTATTTATTTATTTATTTATTTTGGTACGTGCCCCTAGCGGGAACCGAACCCGGGACTCTCTGGTCCGCAGGCCAATGCTCCAACCGCTGAGCCAAACCGGCCAGGGCTGTGTTATTTATTTATTTATTTTCCGGCTCTCCTTTTTATTGGATGTTGGGAGGCATAGAGCGAGATTCTTCCCTGGTCCACGGACCGACAGGGAGCCATGGATAGGCGTTAGGGGCTCATGAACTTGGATAGGAAACTACACCCTTACTGCTTCTGACCTTTAGCCGTTAGCAATTCCTTCGCTTGTGCTTGAGACAAAACCAGAACAAAGTGCAGTCTCGCCTTCTGTGGCTGCCTGGCCTGTCTTTCTGTTGCCTTCAGTTGTAGATTTCCTGAAATGTTATGTATGCCCATCAGCATTCCAAAATTAGTAGACCCATTGTTAGATCTTATGATTTAATGTGCTAATAAAGAAGTGTGTATGGCCCTGGCCGGTTTGGCTCAGCGGTTGGAGCGTCTGCCTGCGGTACAGAGAGACCCGGGTTCGGTTCCCGCTAAGGGCACGTACCTCGGTTGCAGTTTGTCCCCGGCCCTGGTTGGTCGTGCGGGTGGCAGCCACTCGCTGTGTCCCTTCACATCGATGTTTCTCTCTCTCTTTCTTCCTCTCTCTCCCTCCTGCTCTATCTAAACAAAAAGTGGAAGAATGTCCTCGGGTGAGGATAAAAAAAAAAAGAAGTGTGTGTGAGGGGGTGGTGGTGGGAGTCTCATGAATTTGGTTTTCAGTATTCTGAGAACTATGTTTTCATACAATCAGTTTCCTCTGTAATCCTTTGCACCTTATTCTCGGCATTTCAGGCCTTTATTCTGAGGAGTCCACAGGAAAAGCCAAGGGCCCATCCCGGTCCTCTCAGAACCCTCACCTGGTTTCTGGCTCAGCCACCTACAGGCCCCGCCCCACGCATGTTCCATGGGCACTTCCCCTCCTGGGAGTCTGGCCGCGGGGTGGTGCCTGTGTTTGCCGCCGGGTTGTTGCATGGGGCCTGGCGTGTGCTCCATTCCCGCGTTTCGTTGGGTGGCGAGGAGGTGGTTTTTCAAGGACAAGAAGCCCCGGTCTCCTGAACTCTGCCTGCAACTCACCAAGCCCACGGTTCGTGAGGTCTGTAGGCTGGTGCTGATCTGTGGGCTAGAGGCCCTCCCGAGCCCTGCTGCACCCACTGGACCCCGTGTTCAGTTTGATGTGCCTCGGGGTCCGCAAAGCACCACGCCTCGCAGGCCCTGGGCATTCCCCCTGGGAGGGCCGTCCAGACCCCCACTGCCTTTTGGTAATTGAGCTTCCCCACTACCGTGCCCTCTGAAACTCGGGGAGTTTCACCCCGCCTCTCTCATTTCTTGCTTTATGAAAATAAAAGCTGAGCTTTTGGAAGCCAGTCAAGTCACACACTAGACCAGAGATTAAAGCCACAATGAACCAATTTAAACGCCTGCACATTCTCGTGTGCTTTTCAAACGAAGCATTCAAAGCCTGGGAGTCGCCGTGGGGAGCATATTAAACTGTTAGAAGAAATCAAAACAGCTCTGAAAGGAAAACAACAGGTTGGGAGACTGAGCCCTGAAGGGTGGGCGGGTCCGGGTCCCAGAGCCAAGCCCACTTGGGTCATCTGCTCCCCCTCGCGGGCATCCTTCCACGCAGGTCTGATGGCAGAGCCCGCCCAGTGCCGGCCGGGGAGGGTGCCCAGACTCCCAGTCACCAGTCAACACTTGTTGAACAACCAGCTGATGATTGAGAAGAAAAGGCCAACAAACAAGCCAGCCAATGTTAAAAACTATTGTTGTTGTTGTTTAAATTCATGGTTGCCCTTTCTGGGAAATTCACAAAGTACCTAAGAGGAAATATCAGGAAACAGAAAAACTTCCAGCTGTGGTTCCACCAACCACAGACAATTGTCCTTGTCCAAGTGGCCTCCCAGGACACCGTGCCAGGGAAGGAGAGGCCGTCGGTCACACGGGATGTGGCCTTGGTCATTCTGCTCCCTCCCCTCTCACTGCAGTTGTCCTATGAACACACCAATGGCAAAACCTCCAACCTTTTTCTATCAGCATACTTTTGTCTGGTGGTGGTTTTGTTTTGCTTTCATTAGTTGTAGAGCTGTGGCTACTAAATATTCAATTGTGTCTCTCTTTTTGGTATTATCGTTATAGTCTAAGAATTCTCCATCACAAATCCATTTGAAGCATACCTCGTTAGCGGCATAATACTCTGAAACTTCAGTGTAGTGCACTTAGTTACTGAAGTAACCTCATATTATTGGGCATTTAGATTATTTCTAGTTTTGTTTTGCTTTGCCATTTTAACTAACGCTGTGGTCGGTTTTCTGTGCATTAAACTTTATACCAGTTCTGGGCTATTTCGACGACGTGGGTGGAAGGCTTACCCCGTGGAAGGCATTATGGGAGACCAGAGGATAAGCTAGACACAATCCTTCGCATAAGGTGCAGATATAAATAACCTTAACCCAAAGTAGCTTAGAGTCCCATGAACAGACATCCAGGCCTGGCGTATGGGAGAGTTCGCCTGTGCTTCAAGGGATTTTGAGGGAGGTACATGAGAAACCTCTGAGACTTGGCCCAGCTGGGAGGGAAGGGGGCGGGAGGAGTGGGCATGGCTGCCGAGGGGCCGGGGTAGCCGGGAGAACTCCCAGCAGGCGGGTGTCGCCTAAGGCAGGCGCTGAGTCAGCGGAGGTGGTCGGGCGCCAGGACTCGGTGGTGTGTGGCTCAGTGGGCGCCGTGGACCCCGGGTGATGGACAGGTAGCAACAAGACACCCGGCTCGCAAGCCGTCCGCAGCCTGAGATGTTCGTTTCAGGCACGTTTCAGGGCTGGTGTCTGGTGTCAGTGTGGCGAACGCCAAAAACTGTCTGTTTGGTTGAGGCTTTTGATTCACTCAGACCAAGATTCGTGCTCTGTCACTGACATCTCGGGGGGACCTGTGTGTTCTAGGATCCTCCTTAGGAAGCGCTTCAACCCGAAGAGGCAGAGGGAGGCGCCCTGCACCCCGGGGGGAGCACAGAGCAGGGGAGCCGAGGGGCCAGAGAATATTCGCTCACCTGGCGCCCGGGCCCGCTGTCCTGGCTCAGCCACAGGAGAGCCCGGTTTCCAGTCACCCTGACTGCGTCACCCCAGTCCGCGCACGGGAGTGGGGTGGACCTGTCCGCAGTGTCGGTCTCCGGCACCCCCCGGAAGCCTGCCCTGGGGCCCCCTGCCTTCTGGCCCATCAGCCTCCTCTCACGTGGTCCGGCCTTCAGCCCCCGCAGGTGCCATGACGCAGCAGCCCCAGGAGGGCTTCCACAGGAGCGCGGAGGACGCGCGGGAGTGGATGAAGGCCGTGCAGGAGCAGCTGCAGATCAACGACGACACCCGGGGGCCCCGCGCCGCCCTGGAGGCCAGGCTTCGGGAGACCGAGGTACGCAGGCCGCAGGTTTGGGCTGTGACATGGCAGGGTGGACTAGACCAGTGCTCCTCAAACTCCCACGCGCTCGATCTCCCCGGGATTTTGCTTTACGTGCAGGTGGGCCCGAAATGTGGCATCTCTGATGTGCTCCAGGTGACGCCATTGCTTCTGGTCCTTGGACGACTTTGAGAACGGGTCTAGAGCTCACCCTCTGGCCCTGCTGTCCTGGCCCGGTCCTGGCGTCCCGCCCCCTTCCCTGCTCCTGTGGCCCGGTCTGGGCTGACCCAGGTTGGCCTTCAGGGAAATGGGGCGGGGGCTGTGCCCAGTGAGGCGTGACTCCTTTGGCTTCTCCAGGGCCAGGGTCCAGCTTTACCCCCACCTGGCACAAAGCAGGGCTTAATGCCTACGGAGCTGCACTGACCGGAAGTGCTGGTGTCCAGTGCCTGGCCGAGCATCGTGGTGGGGAAGAGCCGGACTGTAGTCTCCATGCTGATGCTAGTGCTGTGTGACCTCGGCCAAGACCCTGTCTGTCTCTGGGCCTCCGTTCCCACCTGTGAGCAAGCAGTTGACTTACACGTCTCTCAGGGGACATCTGTTGGGATAGCCCACGGTTACATTTTATCACCGGACAGTGGTTGCGTGTAAGGGGACGCTTACCCTCTCCTGCTCAGGTCCCCCGACCAGGCTGGAGCGGGACTGACCTCACTCACTCGGCTCTGTCCACAAGCAGGGCTTGGTGTGCTTGGTGGAGGGGTTAGAGCCCTGCCCAACTGACCGTCATGGCAGAAAGGGGGGGGGGGTGGCCACCCTGAGTGACCCAGTCAGAGGCTTCCCAACTGGATGGTGAAGTGAGCAGAGAACCGGGACGTTCAGGGAGTCTGGAGGAGGTCATGTCCCCTGGCCAGGGGTGGGGGAGTCAAGAGCGGCCTCGGGGGGAAGGTGGCCTTGCTGCTGAGGCTTAAAGGAGGAGGAGGAGTTCGCCAGGTGGGGGGATGCAGGTGAGGGTGGGCAGGAGGGGCTGCAGGCAGAGGGCACAGTGGAAGGAAGGCACAGGAGGCGGACAGCTCGGGGCACACGCTGGGGGCCCTGCCAAGGTTGGTGTGAGCAGCACTGACTTCCAGGCAGAAGCAGGGGGCAGGGCCAGAGGGGCAGGCAGGGGGCAGAGGGGACAGCCTGGAACACCAAGCCAAGAAGCTTGGACCCCTCTCCTTTAACCTAGGAGTAGTGGGTTGGAAATGTGGGAGGCTGGGGGCTGAAGGGGAGGGCGGGCCTGGAGGCAGAGAGGAGCTGGCAGCCTAAAGCCCGTCCCTTGTCAGACCTGTCATTGATCAAGTGATTATTCCACCAGGGTCACTGGGAGAGGGGACCGACTCTCATTCAACACCCATTATGTGCTCAGGGCTGCACTATCGGCTTTCGTGTTGCATTTCAAAAAGCCCCATGAGTGTGGTTTCATTGTCCCCACTTTTCAATAGTGAAATGGATTCCTAGACACAGTGACGGGCCAAAATTCAAGGAATTGATCTGCTTGAGGCTTGAATCCAGGGCTGAGGTCAGAACGTCACGGGCCATCCCCATGAGGGGTCCTGGCCAGGGGAGGCCGGAGAGGCACACCCTGCTCCCCGGTGCACAGCCCAGCGGGAGACAGTATGCACATGGTCCAGGTGGCCACACCAGCATGTATGAGGAACATTCATAGCATGGATCTCATGATGCTTTTCTCCTCCCCTAGAAACTTCCATGGCTCCCCATTGCCCACCAAAGAAATACCAAACTTCACCTGGCATCAAAACTCCTTCACTGTCTGCACAGCCCTGTTTTCCAGCCTCAACCCCCACTCCCTCACCTTCCAAGTACACACCTCCTCCTATTGGCAGAAAGCCTCTTAGATTTTCTATCACTGAGCCTTTGTGTGTGCTGTTGCCTCTACTCGAACACCCTTCTGTGTGGGTCCAGGTGTGCATGTGAAATGAGATGCTGCCTTGCCCATGATCTCTCCGGACCGCCTCCAGCCCCAGCTCCTGGCGTGCTGTCCAGAAACACCTCCGCCCTGCGTGCGCCCTCACTGTCCTGGGACGAATCCCTTTGGAACCTGCAGCCTTTGCTGGCAGGTCGTTACCCCTGGCTGGTGGGTCTGGCTTAAGCGAAGGCAAAGGTGGTCCTTAGGAAGAGCCATTGGTGAGGCTGGGGTGAGTGGGCCCCCAAAGCAGAGGGAGCCCTTCCGTCAGGTCAGCCCCCAGGAGCTGAGCTGGAGCCCGGAGAGGGGACGCGTGTCCTGGGTGCTCCAGCACTGTCTCCCGTGGGGCTCCAACATGCTTATTTTCGATGTGATTTGACCAATCAAAACCCATTTCCTGCCATCTGGTGAAAGGGAGCAGCTGGAGCCTCCTTGGTCTCCTCGGTCCAGGGACCTCAGCCTGGGTCTGGGTCTCCCTTGTGGTCCCTCTGCCAGCTCAGTGACGCACAGCTCGAGTGCCCCCTCGCCAGGGTGACCGGGATGTGAGGTTCCATCCAGCTCTGATGCTGTGTGGTGGGAAGCGGGTCCCATGCCCTCCCGCGACCTCATTTGCCATCGATGAAACGGGAGAGGAAACCCCATGCCCCTTGTATTCCGAGGCTCAGGGACCCTCATGGAGCTGGAGACATCTGTGAAGGGAGACAGAGGGACTCACAGAGGTTGAAGCTTGGGTCTGGGGCCACAGGCCTGGATTCTAATTCCCGCTGTGGCCGTGGCACCTTGGAGGAGTTTTCTGACTCCTGAGGTTTGATCTCTGGGGACGGTGAGAGCTGCCGCCTTGCGGGAGGGAGGAGGGTGGAGGAGAAGAATTTACTGGCGTGCTTGGCACAGGACATGCTGCCAGAGCCGGCCCAACGGGAGGTGGTTCCTTGTGGCTTTGATGTGGGGATACAAGCGTGCAGCCTGTTCCTGCCCACACCCCGGCCTGGGGAGCTGCTTCCTAAGCCCCAGCGTCTCATCTCCTCGTCCTCTGCTTCCCAGCCTCCTCGGCCCTGCACTTGGGGCCCGCCGCAGCCCGACTGCCCCTTAGCCGGGGCTAAGGCCCCTCTGTGGTCAGGGGCATGCTGTCATTCCCTGCGACCTGGGGTTACACTGTCCCTGAGCATGCTGTGCTTCCCTTCCTCAAGCCCCGTCTCCGATGTCTGCCCATCACTGAGGCTCAGGGCCGCCTACGCAGGAAGCCTTCCTGGGTTTCTCCACCTCACTCCCTGGAGCTCCAGTAATACGTGTGGTCTCAGCTCTTCTCCGACTATCTGTGCTCTTGTCTGTAGACCTGACCCCAGCCTGTAGTCTCCTGGCCCGGAGCAGTACCCAGCGCAGGGCCCAGCACAGTGCCCACTGGGTGTTGGCGGCATTGAGGGAAGCCCCGACGGACCCCATTCCTCCAGCTTTCCTGGTCTGCTCCTCCCCACGGAGGCTCCCTCCGTCCACCCTCCACCCGACTGCTGCCTTCACTGGCTCCTCGTGGAAGGAATCGCACTGTAGCTGCAGTCCCAGCTGGCTGGTGTCCTTGCCTGTGACGGGCTGTAAAAGAACCTTGCACCAGCCAAAGGGCACAGTCACTAGGGCAGTGAGCAAGGGTGGGGGCGCTTCTCAAAAGGGGACTCTGCCCTCACAGCACAGCCTCTGGTGCCCCGGGCCCACGCCCACCGCCAGTCTCCCACTGACTGGTATTTCCGGGCACACGTGTCTGCTTCGGGCCAGGTGTTCTGCCGGCCTGCGGCACTGGCCAGCCTTCTGCCTTTGGAGGGGAAGCAGCACTCAGGCCCCCGCGAGGGGCCGTGGGTCTTGGTCGTCCACGTCTCAGCCCAGCCTGTGCCTCCCTGACCTGGAATCAGGAGGGCGAAGTCCAGGAGCCGGAGGAGGCCACACGGTCGGGACGCTGGGCTTTGGGAAGGACCGTTGCCCTCACAGGGACTTTCCGGCCTGGCTGGCTCCTTCTGGGTGTGGCGGAGAGAGCTCAAACTGTTCAGAGACCCTGGGCTCCCTGGTGCGTGGAGTTGGATTCTACTTGAGCTTAAATTGGGCCTCAGGTGGGGAGGAGGCTGACCGCGTCAGAGACTCAGGGCTCCGGGGGTCTCAGCCCCTGGTTTGTAAAACGGGAACCCCCGTGGTGCCCATCTTGCTGGCTTGGCAGTGGGCATGCAGCATTCTCCAGAGCTCAGGGGCAGAAAGGTCAGGTTCTTATTTATTGTTATGATTTCTTATCCAGTCAAATCTCACTGGATAGCAAGAAATGTGTCCTTAGCCACAGGGTGACTCCTGCTCCTGAGGGTGTGAAGGGTTTTTTGGGGGGAGGGTAGTATTTCTCAGTCTAGTGCACTCTGTTGTGGCCCTCAGACCTTTAGAACACCCTAGTCACTGCGGTATCTCTGTCATCCACACTGCTGCTGAGTGAGATTCGGGGTGCCTGCTGGATGCTTGCTGCAGTGTGATCTGGGGGCCCTACCACATCCTGCAGACTGGCCCTGTGTTGGGAAATCTCCCCAATCTTCACCCCGCCCGCCCCTCCACCCACTCAGCTCAGACAGCCTTCCCGAGGAGCCGTTCAGCTCCACTCCCTGCTAGGACCCGTGCAGGGAAGTCCCTCCGCACCGTCCTGTCATTGTTGTCATCACGGTAACCACTCCCACATGAAGTAACTAAGGGCATTGGGGCCACTGCCCACTGGCACATGTTGGGGGAGAGTCTACATAATTGCTCAACCATTTACAAGCTGCATTCATTTTACATCCATGTTTTAATTACTAGTGTTTATAAAAATTATTGTTATACCATTGAGGTAGACAAAGGTAGGAATTGTTATCACTCTCTCAGGATGAGAAAGAGAGGCCCAGAGAGGTCGAGGGACCTGCCTGGGGTCACACAGCTATCTGTGAGCAGCTTTTGACATGGTGGGGCCCCCTCCCTCACCCACCCGCAGAGAAGGGTCAGAGACAGCCCGCCCACCGGGGACCTCAGTCTGGGAACGTGACAGCCAGCCCCTTCACACACAGGCGGGGGAGGGAGCGGGACTCCAGGCCCGTGGATGCAGACCAGAAGTCAGGAGAAGCTGACTGGGACCGTGAACGGTTAGCCCTGTGAGCGCCCTGTGAGCCCGGGCACCTGCTGGAGACCCCTGTACCCACATCGCTCACCAGCACCCTGGGGCATAACCGTGATCTCGCCTGGTTCAGGGCCTGGATCATTTGCATACCATGCCGACTGGTAGGATGAGGGCCTGGCATTGGAACCCAGCCACATTTTCACTACAGAGACCAAGCTTTTGTTGCCGAAGAACTGGATAATAATGGTCAAGACAACAGCTAACACATTGTGTTTTAGGCTTGGTCCTCCGAGAAGCCAAAGCCAGGGCGAGGTTAACTGTAAGATGTTTATTAGGGAAACACCTGTGAGAGAAAGTGGGGCCGGAGCCGGGAGAGGCTGGGAGGAGGAGGTCCGTCCAACGCAAGTCCAGGAGAGTGGGGAGCGACTCAGACGGCCTCACAGTTATCTGAGGGAGTTTGGCAAGGCCGTCCTGGGCCAGTCACCCCTCACTGGAGCCCGACGTCCCAGGAGTAGCCTGCCTTAGCGTTCCTGCCTGGTTACCGGTGGGATCAGCTAGGGTAAGGCCGTGGTGCAGGCTGCAAACTCGGGGTGATCCCGGAGCCTTGGCGGGTCCTAGGTCAAGTCTGTTCCCTGCAGAGACTCGAGGGGCAGAGCCTCACAGCCCCACCCCGTAACATGTTCTTTGTGTGCACTTTCTCATTTCATTCTGAAAAAAGAATTTGAGAGCTAAGTACTCTCAACATCCCCATGTTACAGATGATCAAGCCAAGTCGAGGGACATAATGAAACTCGTCTGAGTTCACACAGCTGGGAACGGGCCACAAGGGGAAGGGAGGGGACGCAAATCCTCAGACAGCTTTGGTCCTGCTGTGCTGATGTTCCTTCGCCCACCCTGAGTCAGAGCAGGTGCCAAGGTCACCAGCAGGGGGTGCGGGGCCACTGTTCCAACCCTGGCGCCTCTGTGCTCCAGGTGCTGGCTCGCTCCGTCACGCACTGCCTGTGGCTCGGACCATTTGCACGTGGTCTAACCCCTGGAAACTGGCTTTTGTGCCCATGACAGAAAATATGCCAACGAGAGCCGGAGGGGCGCGTGAAGGTGGACCTGGTGTTGCAGGCGGCCGAGGTGCTCCTGGCGTGCTGCCCCGAGGACCGGAAGCCCGCCATCCTGGCGCAGCTGAGGGACATCAAGGCCCAGTGGGAGGAGACAGTCACCTACATGACTCACTGTCACAGGTAGGGCTGCCGGGGACCTTGCCAGGGCTTTGTGCAGCTGCCCCTGGCCCTGCTTGCCCAGTACCGTGCTCGCCGGTGGCCTCCGCCCATGGGACTCGGCCCCAGCACTGCGATGGCTGGGAACAGGGTGTTCCCTTGGGATTTCCGCCAGCCCTGCCTGTTTCTTCCTAATTACGATCCAGCTTAATGATGGTCATAGACAGTGGGAGCCCATCTTGTTTGCCAACAATTAATTCTTGGTAGACTCGCTGTGCGCACATCCGCCAGCAAAAACGAGAGAAGGGCCCCGGAGGAAGAAGGCCTGGTCCCTGCCAGCGCGTGAGCCCAGAGCCTCTGCCTGCCCTGGGGAGCCAGGCAGGGGCGGCATGGGGTGAGACACAGGGGTGCCTCCTGCTGCCATGGCTGCTTGCTGTATGGCCTTGGGAACGTTCCTTGACCTCTCTGAGCCTCAGGCTTCTCCTCTAGACAATGGGTGTAATCAAAGGTTCTGAGAAGGCCGTTAGGAGCACGGAAGGGGGTACAGCCCATGTCCAGAGCCGGGCGCACAGTAGGCCCTCAGTACGCGGGAGCCGCCGGCCTCCTCTCCATCTTGATCAAGGCAGAATGCTGAGTGGGCGGGGGGACTTTGCACAGCGCTTTTGCTTTTCACACCTTTTCACTTGGGATTCCAAAGGGGCTTGATGTGACTGGACCATGTCCGTGTTTCCGCTGGGGAAACTGAGGCGAGCGAGGAGGCAGGGTTGCATAGCGAGGCTCTGTCAGGCCCGCAGGCTCCTGGCCCCACTGAGCAGTACGAGCCCACAGATGCTGCAGATTATTAGACACAGCCCTGGAGGCCTGTTGGAGCCAAGAGTCAGACTGTGCCCAGTCTCGCTGCTAGAGAGAGAGGACTGGGGGCCCCTGCATATCGACCATGGAGTTTAGGGCGAGAAGGTGGGGTGCTGGCAGCTGAGTGTGCATCAGCTACATCAGCAAGGCTGGTGGTTCTCAGCACAGGTCTGGAATCGGCGCCTGCTTGGTCCGTAGCCCCACCCACGTGGCGGGTTCCCAGACAGGGTCTCGTCCAGCGGGACTGAGGAGGGTCCAGAATCCAGAGCGACTCAGGCCCAGAGGGCGTCCTCGCGTTCCCCTCCCACAGCCCCCGTGCTCCCAGGAGCCAGGGGCGCTGGTTCACGCCCCGCCTCTGCCCACAGCCGCATCGAGTGGGTGTGGCTGCACTGGAGCGAGTACCTCCTGGCCCGGGATGAGTTCTGCCGCTGGTTCCAGAAGATGATGGTGGTGCTGGCGCCCCCCGTGGAGCTGCAGCTGGGCCTGAAGGAGAAGCAGTGGCAGCTGAGCCACGCCCAGGTGCTGCTGCACAACGTGGACAACCAGGCCGTGCTCCTGGACCGGCTGCTGGAGGAGGCGGCCTCGCTGTTCAACAGGATCGGGGACCCCAGTGTGGACGAAGACGCCCAGAAGAGGATGAAGGCCGAGTACGATGCTGTGAAGGCCAAAGCCCAGGTGAGTGGGCGCTAGTGGGCTGTCTTCACCCACCCATTCCTCTATTTTCCTACCTGATCTACCCATCCGGCCTCTCATTTGCTAAGTAACCATCTATCTGTCCATCTGCTCACCATCGGCTGTCCACCCACCCAACACCCACCCACCGGCATTCACCCATCTATCCATCTCCTATCCCCTCCCCCATTTGTGCCCCACTAAGCTACCAAATCTCCCGTTCACTATCCACCCATTAACCACTTCGTTTATCCACTTACCGACCAGCCATCTGTCCGACCACCCACCCTCTCACACATCTGTTACTTACGGCTCATCATCTACCTCCCCCCAACTTAACTAATCTCCTGTTCATCTAGACAACCACTTAATCACCCGCCCAGCCATCTAGCTACTCATTCACCTACTCAGCCTACCCGCCTCCTTACCCACCCACTCATCCATCTCTGCCCTGTCTACTACCCACACTGTCTACCCTTGGCCCACCTGCCTGCTTACTCTCTACCTGTCACCCATCTGTTCGTCTACCACTCACTGCCCAGCTACCCCCAGTCTCCTGTCTATCCACCCACCTATCCCTGCACCACCCACCCACCCACGGACCCATTGTCTGCCATCCGTACGCCCAAGGTCACTCAGTGCTTTATACACATGTGGGTGCTCAATGCGTGTGGTTGACCTACTGGCTGGTGGACGAAGCTCGCTCTTAGCTAACTGCCCTCCCCCACCCTCCCCTGTCTCCCTCCCTGCTCCTGCCCTTCAGCCTCTCCTCTCTGACCTCCTGCCTCCCTCATCCTCGCCCGTCTTCTGTCCCCGTTCCCGCACCTCGTTCTTGCCTCGATTTTTAACAGTCCATTGAGTGATTGAGTTCAGTTATTATTTTTTTAAGAAATTCTATTTGGTTCTTTGTTGTGTCCGCCATCCTTCTTTTCAGTGGGTCGTTTTTCCCTTACATTTTGCACCCCTTCCAGGGACGGATTGGACCGTGATCACTGTGAGCATACGTATGGCACAGTCTCCATAGCAGGGGCAGGTGGGCAGGGGCCAGGGCCCGTGACCTTAGGTTCAAACTGTCGTGCGAGGGGCGCTTGGCAGTGGGAGCGTCGCTTCCGTCAGATCCCGGAGGTGCCAAGACCCTCCGAAGACTGAGAAGCTACTGAGGAGCGAACTTTCTCACTCCCCTTGGCAAGAGCGTCAGCCCGACCCGGGTCCTTATCAGTAACAAGGGATCAGCCTCCGGGCACACCCCAGCCTCCCCACCACCCCGCCCAGGACAAAGGAAGACGCTCTGGCCCCATCCTGAGCAGGTGGCTGACGCGCGTGCAGGAGCCCCGGAGATTGCTGGTGGCCCAGATGCCGCCTGGTCTCCTGCACTGCACACGTGATGAAGGCCTCGGCTCGCGCAAACGGCTCCCAAGGCAGACGAGAAACCCGTCCCCGGGCGGGCGGCCGAAACCCCACGGGGTGCCAGGCCCAGGGCTGTGTAAGGACCCGAGGGGCCCAGGCCACTGTCAGAGTCGGAGGGGCCGGCTGTTGTCCTAGTCTGCTCGGGCTTCCGCAGCAGGACACCAGACCAGTGTTAAATGACGGGATCCGTCCTCGGGGTCTGGAAGCTGGATGTCTGATATCGAGGTGCTGCGGACTCGCTTCCGGCGAGGGGCCTCTCCTGGCTGCAGTCAGCGTTCTCTCATGTGTCCCCCGGGCGGAGTGCTCTCTGCTGCCTCCTCTTAGAAGGCCACTAATCTGATCATGGAACCCCACCCTCAGGACCTCATTTAACCCCAGTGACCCCCCAAAATCCCCTCCTCCAAACACCACGACATTGAGGGGCAGGGCTACAACGTATGAGTTTGGGGAGGATGCAGTTCAGTCCACAGCAGACACTGTATTGATGCCTCCTCCTTCACCAATAGGAGCGCCTTTCAGCAGTCCTCAGGCTAGTGAACAGGCCATTATTGTCCCCCCCAAAGCCGTTTTTGACTTCCAGTATGATCATTGGCAAAGCCTCTGGTGTTGATGGGGCCAGGACCACAGAAGCACCGTGGGGGCCGCCTCTGGGCTGGTGGCCCCTGATCAGGACCCCTGGCCCAGCTGAGGGGTGGGTGGGTGGTGAGGTGAGCAGAGCCCACTGTCAACCCGAAGTGCCTGGAAGTCAAGGGGAGACAGCAGGCCGATAGCTGTGTTATTCTGTCTGAGTGTTTTTGGTCCAGCGGTTCCATGTTCTGAAGGGCCAGGAGAGTAGTGTCCTTTTTCCCCCACTTCCCCCCCCAAAGGGGGCATGTTTGTCCGGCATCCGGGCCTGAGTCAAAGCCGTCCACACAGCCTGTGCCCAGCATACATCCACGCCACCTTCGTTAGTTGGTCGGGTTTTGACATTCCTGACAGCTCTGCCGGCCACAGATGGTCGGTTGTTTGGTCTAACGAGAGAAGGTTGCGCTCTCTCCCATTTGTCTCCCCTGTCATCCTCCGCGTGGTGGCCCGGCCGCGGCCGCACTGTGCTCCGTGATCACTATGCCTGGCACAGTGCTCGCCTGGATGACTGCCCTGCTTGGCCGTGGTCCTGCCTGGGGCCTGCTCCCTATTACCGAGGCTTTATTTACTCTGGACGTCCCCGGGTGCCAGCACCTCATCGCTCACACACCACACACGCACGGGGCCATTGGAGAGGCCGCTTCACTACAACACTCGGAACTGTCGGGCTCAACGGGGCCAGCGCGTTCCCTGCTGGTAGTGCCCGGCCCGCCTTGTTTCACGAACGAGGCTTTCCCGTGGATGGAGGAAGGGCGTCCGCAGGAAGGGGGCCGGCAAGGGCAACGTGAAGAGCCGGTCACTGTCCCTCGGTCCACTCGCGGAATTTAAACAGCAGTGTTTTCATCTGCCGTGTGCTGCTGCTGAAACCCCGACCCTCGCTTCCCCTCCGAGAGGGCTCTCAGCTCTGCACGGAAGGACCTGGCCCTGTACCTTGGCTTTCCTGTCTCTGAAATGGGGCTCTTTTCTCTTACTTGGAATGGCTGCAGCAAAGGTGTAAATGAATCCATCAGTATTTCTAGACTCGGCGAGGAGCTTCTCCAAGGGAGGGGCAGGAGAACACAGAGAGCAGGAGAGTGTTGGGATCCGTGTTTGTCCATGCTTCCCCGCTGACAGCGTCTGGCTTTGTTTCGTACCTGCTCCTGGACATGGCCTGGCCCCGTGGCTGGGGCCGAGGCCGTCAGACGTGCCAGGGCCAAACCCAGCCCAGCTCTTGGTTGTGCATAGCCTGTGAGCTAAAGATGGGTTTTACATTTTTGCGTGATTGCCGGGAAAATAAAAACCAGAATATTCCATAACATGTGAAAATAGGAAATTCAAATCTGAGCGTCCACATTTCGGTTGTATTAGAATACAGCCGGCCGTGGAGTGTTTCCCTGTGGCCGCCAGTCAGCGCTGCTACAGCGGGAGGCGCCGAGGAGGCCGGTAGCGGCAACAGGACCGCAGGGCACGTGAAGCCGGCTGGCTGCAGTTGGCCCACCCCTGGTCCAGAGCCCTGACCTGGAGCCCGACGCGTGCCCTTTAAATCCTGGTCTAAGGCCGACGTGTGCCCTTTAAATCCTGGCTCTAAGGCCCTGCAAGAGTTCTGTGACCTCCCAACATCAGCGTGGACATTTGCATAAGGGGAGGGCTCTGTGATCATGGTGAAGATTGAGATCCTGCTTGTGCAGGCCCATAGTCCGCGGTTAGGCGCATATTGAATGGAAATCCCCTCTCTCCTTTTTCTCGCCTCTCCTTGGAAACTCCTGCTGGCAGACACTCCGTGGGTATTCTTCCTGCCAGTCAGGAAGCTCGCGCCTGGGGCAGCGGGCGACTCCTCGGGCAAGGGCTCCGGAGGTTAGCACTGCAGAGCACGGGGACAGCAGGTGACAATAAACAATGGCTCAGTCATTCCATGCTTGCTAGGCTGCCTGGTGCTGCCTGGGCTTATGCAAGCTCTGACACATTTAGCCCCTGCACCCCAATGACACAGGCGCTGTTATTAACACACCATACCGATGGGGCACAGAGGGTTCATTACGTGCCCGAGGCAGGCCAGGGCTCAAGTCGCAGGCTGTGGGCTCCCAAGCCCAGGGTCTGGACCGCTGGGCCCCAGTGCCCAATCACGGCATCTGCCCTTGACCTTCAGGCTGTGGCCCTTGGACCAGAGCCTGGGGGCAGTGGGGAGCCATGGAGGGGTTATGGTTCTCTGATCAGGGTTGTGTTTTGAAAACCAGAGCCCCTACGCACACAGTAGGTCTTATATCAGGAACACTGTTATTTCCCCAAATGTCAGTCCCCTCGGGCTCCCATCTTGTCCCTGTGTGGTCAGAACTTCGGTGGGATTGTCTGAAAATAGAGATTATTCCGACCATGCAGTGACCACCGAGCTCATGGGGAAATGGGGCAGCTGCCAGGTGTTGGCATGCCCCCTAGACACCAGTGATGGGGCGCACACCCCGTCTACCCAGCCTTACCTCCTGGGTTTGAACCTCAGTGCTTTCCCAGGCAGGGGATGACCTCTCTGGGCCTCAGTGTCCTTGCTGTCTATCAGCGAGATGATAAAGTTCGTGTAGGTCGTGGAGCCGCTCAGGCAGCCCGGTGGACGCCCAGCCAGGCGTGAGGTAGCAGAAGCTGTTACCAGGCCCCTGCCTTAGCACCATTCCCGGGACGTGGTAGGAGACGGGCCGGGCCCTGGTGCTTTGCTCTCCAAAGCCAACACCCCTTGGCTTCTCGCTAACAAGGTAGAGAAGAGCGTCTGGGATCTTTATTTCCAGCAAAAGGGCTGCGGGTTGGTTGCATCCCATACCCCTCCCCCCACATACACCATGCACCCCCCACACACATACACACCACACACACACCCCCACACACACACATCCACACCCACACCACACACACACACCCCCACACACACATACACACACCACACACACCCCCACACACACCACACACACACTCACACCACACACACACACCACACACACCCCCACACACACCACGCACCCCCCCACACACACACCACACACACCCCCACACACCACACACACACTCACACCACACACACACACATACCACACACACCACACACTCACACCACACACACCACACACACACTCACACCACACACCCACACACACCACACATACACATACACACACACCACACACACACACATACCACACACTCACACCACACACACCACACTCACACCACACACACACCACACACACCACACACACCACACACACACTCACACCACACACACCACACACACACACACTCACACCACATACACCACACCACATTCACACCACACACACCACACCACACTCACACCACACACACACCACACACACACACTCACACACACACACTCACACACCACACCGCACTCACACCACACACACACCACACACACACACACTCACACACACACACTCACACACACCACACACACACCACACACACTCACACCACACACACATACCACACTCACACACACTCACACACACACACCACACACACATCACACACACACCACACACACACACGCACACCACACACACCACACACACACACATCACACATACACACACACACACCACACACACACGCACACCACACACACACCACACACACACACACCACACACACCACACACACACACCACACCACACACACCACACACCACACACACTCACACACACACACTCATACACACACACTCACTCACACCACACCCACACACCACACACCCACACACACATCACACATACACACACTCACACACACCATACACACACTCACACCACACACACTCACACCACACACACCACACACACACACTCACACACACACACTCACACACACTCACTCACACACCACACACACGCGCAGGTCCGAAGGCCAGCTGCAGTGACTCCCCCCCTCCCCCAGGACAGAGTGGGCCTGCTGGAGCAGGTGACCCGGGAGCACGAGCAGTTCCAGGCCGGCGTGGACGAGTTCCAGCGGTGGCTGCAGGCGGTGGTGGAGAAGGTGAATGGCTGCATGGGGCGGAACTGCAAGCTGACCACCAAGCACCGTCTCTCTGCACTGCAGGTAACCCGCCGAGTCTGCACCGAGGGGCCCCGGGAGCCCGCGCGTGTGGCAGGTCCAGTGTTAGAGTTCATTGAACAGGGTGGTGTGGGGCCAGAGGAGAGACAGACATCCGAGGCCGCCCACGGTTCCACGTGAGGGCAAGCGTGGAATCCGGTGAAGAATGTCTGGGGCCTTGGCCGCCTAGTGGACATCTCTGAGCCAGCGGGGCCTTCAGAAGCCCGAGGCCACAGCAGCACGGTTGGGACTAGTGGGTCTCAATGGGGGACATCTGGCAATGTCTGGGAACATCTTTGGTTGTCACAGCGGAGGGTGGGGGTGCTACTGCATCTAGCGGACAGGGACCGGAGATGCTGCCAAGTGCCCTACAGCGCACAGCACGGCTCTCACCGCAGAGAACTGTCCGGCCTCAGGTGTCAGCAGGGCCGAGGGTAGGAAAGGCATCAGGCCTGCAGTGGGGGAAGCTGGGTCCTCCGTGACGGGCGTGACCTTGAATGAACTTCTGACTCCCTCTGTAAAGTGAGTGGGTAGGTTATGTTCCGTAAGTCAAGAACCGCTTCATAGTTTTTGCTACAGCTATACACCGCCTGTACCACTTATTTAATGTTTGTATTTAAATAGACTCACTTAAAAAAAACACAAAGAACAATGATCAAACAGTTCTTATAGGATGCATGTAACCTTGTTCATAACGGCCCCGTACTGGAAACAGCTGATTTTTGTCAGCAGAATATTGATAACAACCCAAGAGAATGTTTATCTGTTGGATAGATGTAATATTATATATATGTGTATATATATGTATACGTATATATGTATATACATATATATATATGAAGGAATATTAGTTACAATAAAAAGGGTTGAAGTGCTGATATACATGAGAGCCTGGAAGAATCTCAAAAAACATTATGTTGAATGGAAGAAGCCAGTTTCAAAAGATAACATATTCTGTGTGTTCATATCAGTTCTAGAATCTTCCAGGATGCTAGAAATGCTCTGTTTTGTGTTTTGTTTTTTTCATCTTCATCTGAGGATATGCTTATTGATATTTTAGAGAAAGGGGAAGGGAGAGAGAGACAGAAACATCAGTGTGAGAAACATGGATTGGGTGCCTGCCATACGCACCCCAACCGGGGACAGAACCCACAACCTAGGTGTGTGCCCTGACTGGGAATTGAACCTGCAACCTTATGGGGTACAGGATGACGCTCCAACCAACTGAGCCACCTGGCCGGGCAGAGATGCTCTGTTTTAATAACAATGAGGACTACATAAGCATGCGTAGTTCCCAAAACTCTTTGAACAGTAACAATCAAGGTCTGAACACTGTACTCCAGGTAAATTACACTTCAATATAAACAGTTAAAAAAGAAACTTGAGCCCTGGACAGTTTTGCCCAGCAGTTAGAGCGTCGGCCTGCGGTCCAGAGAGACCCGGGTTCGGTTCCCGCTAAGGGCATGTACCTCGGTTGCAGTTTGTCCCCAGCCCTGGTTGGTCGTGCAGGTGGCGACCACTCGATGTGTTCCTTTCACGTCGATGTTTCTCTCTCTCTCTCCCTCTCTCGCCCTCTCACTCTATCTGAACAAAAAATGGAAAAATGTCCTCGGGTGAGGGAAAAAAAAAAAGAAAGAAAGAAAAAAGAAACTTGATCTCATTGTCATACACGGATAATCGGTCCTCGTTCATAATTAGCAGGTAACCACACACACTCGCACCGTGACACCAGATGGGGCCACTGGGTTCTGTTTGGCTCCACCCTGTTGTCGCGGATGACTGCCGGAGATTGCACCTGTCTTTGGGAAAAAGGCAGATGGACAAATGTCAGGGAGGGTTCAAGACAGAGGAGCACCCACCAGAGACGCTCCTTGCCTGTGGAACAAGGGGTAAAAGATGCGGTCAGGGAGTGACGTCCTCCTTTGTGAGCCGGGGAAGCCAAGGCACACAGTCCCCCCCTTGGAAAGGTGTCCCTGGCTCTCACCCCAGGATCTAGGGCTCAGGGGGAGCAGGACGAGCCACTCACTGTTTCCTTCCACTCCCCCCTTCAGGACATCGCCAAAGATTTTCCCAGGGGCGACGAGTCTTTGAAGAGGCTGGAGGAGGAGGCTGTGGGGGTCATCCACAATACCTCTCCTTTGGGTGCAGAGAAGATCACCAGAGAACTGGAGGAGATGCGGGAAGTTCTGGAGAAACTCCGCGTCCTCTGGGAGGAGGAGGAGGGGCGGCTGCGGAGCCTGCAGCAGTCCAAGGGCGCCTTCGAGCGGCGGAGGAAGCAGCTGGAGGCCGAGCTGGGAGAGTTCAGGAAGGGCCTTCAGAGGCTGGCCGAGGAGGGCCTGGAGCCCGTGGCCCCGGCGGGGACTGAGGATGAGCTGGTGGCCCGCTGGAGGCTCTACTCGGTAAGCGAAGTTCGGCCGCGCCACGGCGCTCCAGGTGGGGTATCACCTCGGGGTGTCACCACGTGGGGCTCCTCTGCGGGTGGGAGATCCGGTAAGCCTTAAGCACACTCACTCTGCCTTTCCTGGATCTGGGTGTGTTACTGAAGTTGGGTGTTTGCGCCCATTTTCCGGATGAAGAGACTGAGGCCAGGAGAGATTTTTTTTTCTCCGCATCGCTAGGATCACATGATGTCAGTGGATAAATAAGACCAGAGGTGGATTGTCTCTGGGTCTGCCACTTCCTTGCCTGGTGGTGGGAGGTGGGATGGACTTCCTGAGCACAGAGCAGAGTTAGGCGTGAGGTCGAAGGGAAGGTCTTCGAGTAGAGGTGATGACCAACAAACACAGTAGGGGGCGTCTGGGGAGGCCAGCAGACACCCCCATCCTGGGGAGGGCGGGTGGGTTCCAACCCAGAGCACCCTCCCCACCCCAATGCGCATTCACAGGAGGTTTGACTTGAGGACAGAGAGATTTTTAAAAAATAAAGATTAACCCCTCCCCATGCCTCTCATCATTTATTAACTCAGTGGGTTCACCCTGTCCGTTCCATTCGGGAAATATCTGAATGAGACAGCCACCCAGACCCGCTTCCACTCTGCACTGCGTTGTGTTGTTTCTCTTCCTTGGAATGTTTGCCGTATGCAGGACAGTTCTGCACAGACAGGGCAGGGCACTCTGGGGGGCCCACTCCCCCTGCTCGGGAACGGATTCCACGGGGTGACCGTGCCCAGGGGAGCCCCCTCCAGCACTGTCTGCCTCCGCTCATGGGGGAGGGGAGGTGCCGTGGGGGAGGGCAGCCTTGGAGTCAGACCGCTGGGTTCAAGCCCTGGTCCTTCTTGCCCACCGGACGACTTGGGGGAATTCCTTTCCTCTCTGTTAAATGTGAAGTGGGGGTGTTGATCGCAGCTCCTTCCCAGCAATTCCTTACGAACAGGTGAGAACAACTGCCTAGACCAGCACGGCCAGGGGGCACTCAGAGCACTGCTTCACCGTGAGGTCCTGAGAGGGAGGGGGCAGGGCTCAGCCTGGGGGGTCTGGAGAGCCCTGCCAGGACCGCTGTCACCATGCCCCTGGGCCCTGCGGGCTGTTTCAGGAAGCCTGTCCCGAGGCGGGAGGGACCACCTCCCTCCCAAGCTCCTGCCACACCTCGTTCAAGTCATGACTCACCCGAAATCAGTGAGAGGGAATTCCCTAAGGTATGGCCGGGGACTTGTTCTTGCTGTTTGCACTTCTTATGACATGTTCTACAGCGGGGAGCGGCCACATCTGACCTGCTCAACCCAGCCGCCTGGGTGCCAGGGACCAGGCCAGCGGGTGGCTGTGAGGCAGCCGGACCTGGTGTGGGTGGGGACCACCCGGCCCGCGGAACAGGCGGCTCCGCTCTGAGGAAGACCTGTGGGCTGCTCTCCGTCGTTTAAGGGGTGTCAGGGCCTCGGTCGAAAGAGCCACCTGTAAAGAGAGCGTCCGTGAGGGACAGGCTCACCTTCAGGAGTCACAGGGAGGTCATGACTTCCCCAGCACATGCTTTCTCAGTGCTGCACAACCCTGTGGGGGGCACTGCCATGATCCCCCGTTAGAGGCGGGGAGACCCGGCGGGGAGAGGTTCATGGCTCGCCCAGGACGGCAGGACGAGAGCACTCCATGGGCATCTCGGGCCCGCCCACACGGTGCTAGGTCTTTGCCCCCTTTGCTGCGGAGGGGCAGGCAGAGCCCAGGGGCCGGCTCCGGTGTCAGGGAGACCTTTCCCGGGCCCTGCAACTGTCAGAAATCATAGACGGAGTTACCTCCCAGGATCCTTGAGAGGCTGCAGTGAATGAGACACCCAGAGCACTCAGCATGGTGCCAGTGTTCCTAGAGATTAGTCATTTGTACCAGGAGGTGCCAGTGCTGGTGACAATGCTGTGAGGCAGGTGTGATCAAGAGAAAAGCCAGCATGGCCAGAGCCACCGGTCAGGAGGTGGGGGACCAGGGGCTGAGTCCCTGCCCTTGGTGACAGTTTCCATCCTGGCTGGCCCACGCCCACCAGCCATGCTCACCCCCTTGAACACATACCTTGTCCCGTCCCGGGACCTCACCACCCTCCTTGGTCTTCTGTGCTGCAGGCGACACGGGCAGCACTGGCCGCGGAGGAGCCCCAGGTGGACCGGCTGCAGGCCCAGCTGAAGGAGCTCATCGTCTTCCCCCACGACCTGCAGCAGCTCCCCGACAGCGTCGTCGCCGCCATCCAGGAGTTCCAGAGGTGTGGGGGTGAGGGTGGCGGCACAGAGGGCCTTCTTTCTGCATCTAATGCCACCTCCGGGAGGTGGGCTTGCTTTCTCTTGCAACCCGGTAGCTTAAATAATTCCTGCACCTCTCGATGACTGGCTGTCACAGGGTCCTACTCGGTTTAGTCACTCTCCCTTTTGACAGTATTTTACATTGCACTCCCCAAACGAGGCCTGAACTTTGCATTTTTCCACACTGAGTGGCTCATTCACCGTTTCCGTCAAGTCTCTATGCAGCTCAGCCCTGGAGCAGGGTCCACCATGTGATGGCCCGAGGGGGGGACTTTTCGATAGATAGACATCATGCTGAGGATGCTGACGGAGGCCTCCGAGCCCAGCTCCGTGCCAGCCCCTGCCTCCCCCTCGGCCTGTGGGCTCGGGCACAGTGGCTCTCCCCTCTCCCAGCTTGGTGCAGACCAGCAGATCCAACATCGGCCACCCTCTGCGGAGCTGAACACAGGGTTACTTTGGAATCCGTAGCTGTGTTCGCTACGTGAGCCTCAGAGGTGTTCAGAACATCGCAGAACCACCCATGCATCTGTAGCTCGTTCCTCTGCCTGATCCTGGGGTTCCTCCAGAATGCACTCGGGGAGCCCTCCCTGCCCCGCTGTGTGTCTCTGACCCCACAGTGTTCTCAGGCTCCACCTCTGCACATTCAGAGCAGTGGCCTGGGTCCCCCATGTGGTGGGGTGGGCGGGGCTGGCATCTTCTGTGCACTAAGCTGGCCTTGGAACAGGGCGGCCCTCTCACTGAGGGGTCAGGTGCTGCGTATCTGTGACGGGGTGCTGGATGTGGTATCTGAAAAATTATTTGTAGAAATTATTTGGGTCCAGGATGATGGTCTCATACTCAAGAAAGGATTTTGCTTGCTTCTGCGAGATGCCCAGGGCAAGCAACACCTGTCGTTTCTCAGGGCCCGGTGTCGCTGCCAGCCTGTCTGAGGACGGCTCTTTCCGGCGCATTGTTCCCCCTTCTCCTACGTGAAAACGGTTTCAGTTGGCGGATGAGTTCTGAGCAATGTAGACAGACACACTCTTCTTTTTAAAAATATATTTATTTTATTTTATTTTTTCCATCACATTGATCCCCATACCCTTCTCCACCTCCACCCACACCCCTCCCCCTCCAGTGCACTTCTGTCCAGAGGGCACAGACCTCTGAGGTTCCAGACACTCCCAGCGGTCTGTGGGCCAGGACAGGGACCACCCTGGGGTCCCCCGGGGAACAGCATCCACCGGGTTCTCTGGGGGTCTGGGCAGAGGCCGCACCCTGGACTGACTCCCCCCTCCTCCCTGGGTTTTTGCAGCATGAAAGGGAAGAGCACCAGGCTGCGCAATGCCACCGGCGTGGAGCTGTGGCGGCGGTTCCAGCGCCCCCTGCAGGATCTGCAGCTGTGGAGGGCCCTGGCCCAGAGGCTCCTGGAGGTCACCGCCAGCCTGCCGGACCTGCCCTCCATTCACACCTTCCTGCCCCAGATCCAGGTAACCAGGAGGGCTGGCCCATGATGCCGCGGGAGGCCACCAGCCAAAGTGGCATTTCAGCCATTGTCACAGGGAGAGGCGTGTTTCTGGGCCCTGTGATATCTGGGTAGAGCTCATGGTACCGTGTCTGGCTCAGGAGTCCTGTGTGGCCAGGAGACATCAACGTTTGTTATCAGAGACAAGGGTCCTCCTCAGAAGGCAAAGCCTGGTGCCCGGTGTGACCCCAGGGCCCTCAGTGACCTCCCACACCTGTCCCCTTCAGGACCCCACTGCAGGCAGTCCTGTGGGGGAAGCATGAGCATAACAGCATGTCAGGCCGTGACCTTTACTGTGTTGGGGTGCATGTGACAAGTGACAGCAAACCTGCCCAATGGGGACTTAAAGCACAGAGCCCTTCACGCAGTCCCAGGACTGGCTGGATAGCTCAGCGGTATCGCTCAGGACCCAGGCCCCTGTGCTCTAAGCCACGTCTCCCTTCCTGGCCCCGAGGTGGCTGCCACCACTGCGAGACGCACCCTCCCGCGAACAGCAGCCTCTTGTGCAGGAAGGAGCAGGGTCTACCCCGTGACTGTCCACTCGAGGCTCAGGTTGGAACGAATGTTTTTCTCTCCACATTTCTTAAGCTGCAGGACATGGCCTTTCCTTCTGGGGGTCCTGTGGGCTCCCTTCCCCTTGTGCTCCCAAGGATGATCGTCCACCTTTTTGAGGTACTCCTGGGGGATCCCCAAAGTGAATTTCACATGTACCTCAAACCTCCATTTTAGGCCAGGTGATCCCAAATATACCCTTTGTATCTTACGAAAATCCATCTAGCCATTTCCATGAGCGATGGTCACTAATAGATAGAAGCTTTAATGAATGAATCACAATTTTTGTGTATTTGAGATCATGTTATATAGTTAGATCCACAGATATTTCCACTCTGCACATAGGAGCTTTTTCTCAGCATCTAAAATTGTTCTCAATAGTCACCATTTTTAATGGCTGCATAATATTCCTTTTGTGGCTATGCCATAATTTATTTAATGTATCCACAGATATTTAGGTTATTTCCACTTTTCATTGTCACAATTACTGTATGTTGAATATCTATGTACATAGATGTTTGTCTTCATCCCTACCGTTCTCCTTGTTTTGCTGACGGATTCGGGCCAGAGGGAAGTTAGGGTACTTGTTCAAGGTCAGGCCACTCAGGAGAGGCAGAGCTACGGCCAGAATGGTGGGCTGTAGACTCTCATGCAGTGTTCTTGGCCCTATTTTCACATTGGTTCCCGGGAACAGCTGTGTGAGGCAAGCAGCACAATTGTATTGTTATTATTTGACCGGCGAGGAAACCAGGTCTCAGAGAGGGCCACCTGCTCCAGGGCACCCGATCAGGCCTGGCTGACTCCATGACAAGTGCATTTCCCTCCTGGCCTTCCCCCTGGGGCCGAAAGCGGGCCAGCAGCTCCCTGGCAGGAGGAGGAGCTGTCCTTCCAGAGCGCGCAGGAGCCCAGCGCAGGAGCCTCACGGAGCAGGAGTCTCACGGAGCAGTGGGTCGGAACAGTGGGGCCAGGACTTTGTCCGCTCGTGTCCGGATGCGGTCTGCGGCTCGGGAGCCAGTCCTGTGGCGCTCCCAGCAGCCTGCCCGGGCAGGGTGGCTGTCACGGGCCAGGGCTCAAGCGTCGAGCCCTATCTTTTCTTGACTCAGCTTCTGTGTCTAGGCTCAGAGTGGCCCGTGGGTCTGCAGAACGCACCCAGAACAGAAACACTGAGCCCCCAAAGTCGGGCATGGCCGGTGCATTAGTTTCCTAGGGCGACCAGAACAAAATACCAAACACTAGGTGGGTTAAAGCAACAGAAATGTATTCTCACAGCTCTGGAGAACTGAGGTCCCAAATCAAGGTCCCGAGGTGGGGGTAGGGGGCGTCCTCTCTCCAAGGACTTTAGGGGAGCGTCCTGTCTTGCCTGTTTAATTTCTGGTGTCTGCCACAGTTATTGGTGGTCCTGGGCTTGTAGATCCCACCTCCGCCTCTGTCACCACGTGTCCCATCATCATCCTCTGTGCCTGTGTCTGGGCCCAAATTGCCCCTTTTAATTAGGGCCCAGTCATACCGGATTAGGGGCCCACCCTGATGACCTCACTTTAACTTGATTCCCTCTGTACTGATCCTATCTCCAAAGGTCCCGTTCTGAGGGAGTGGGGAGAGGGTTAAGACTTCACCACACCTTTCCAGCAGGACACAGTCAACCCACGACAGCTGGTTACATATAACAGCTGAGAGCCGTCTTTTGTTGTGTCTGCTGCGGGCCTTGCACTATTCAATGCTTGGTGGGCGTGTCTCATTTAAGTCTCATGACAGCCCCGTGAGCTGGGGTGTGACCGCCCCTGGTATACAGATGAGGAACTGAGGCTCAGAACTGCCCAAGGCTTCCCAGGTAGCATATAATCCACTTGATGATCACCACGCCCCAGCCTGAATTTTTAACCCCGTGATACTGTGTCTGGGTTTGGTGAAAGGGAGGTGGCGGTGACCCCTACCTGAAGAGGCTTGCCCTCTGTGTGGCCCATCACAAAGCACATGTCCTCCGTCAGTCCAGCTGGGTCTGCCGTGCTTATGCCGTCCTTCCTCCCGGGGCTCCGTCTGCCCTTCCAGGGATGTTGTAAATACCGCCTCCTCCGAGGTGCCTTCTTGGATTTCCCCAACCAGGAAATCCACTTCTGCCTTGAATACCCGCTTGGTTGAAACTGCTTAGGAAAACACTCATGCTCTGCCTCGACTACATTACCCACCTGGGTCGGGGTCTTTGTTCTCCCGTCCCAGCCCTGTGCTTAGCTCAGGGTCTCAGTAACGCCGTCAGGTGGAAATAGAAGGGCTCTGGCCAGCCCTGGTCTCCAGGGCCCTGGGCCTTACTCAAAACAACTGGTTAGTCACAGGAGCCTGAGGCTTGGCACGGGGCTTTGAGGCAGAAAAAATTGAGTGTAGGCTGGGAATGTGGTCAGGGCAGGCTTCCTGGCGGAGGTGAGCTGTGCAGAATTCAGGCCGTGTGGGAGCAGCCGCCCACTGGAAGGAGGCTTCTGAGTATCCTTCAGGGTCCCTTTTCACCGGCGAGCTCCTAAGCAGCATGACTCCATTCAGGCACCACCTCCGGGGAGCCTTCCTGAATTCCCTAGTTGTGCCCTTAGCCCCCACGGAGTGTCCCAAGCACCACCTGGGGGGTCGCCCACCACTGTTGGTGAAGGGAGCCACTGAGTAGAGGGTCAGACTGGTTTGGTTTGGGGTCGGCTGCCGTGGGGATGGTTGTTTGGGGTAGGGGGGTGGCTGAGGCCAGCGGGCGGTTGGGAGCTGCCGTGGTCCAGGGGAGCGTGGCTGAGGGTGCCCACGACCAGTGGCAGTGGGGATGGCGAGGAGACGGGTTTCCGAGACATGTAGGCGGTAGATTTCTTGCTCTGATTTGGATAATAAAGTGGATGTGGGGAGCAAGAGAGGCCTCAGGTTGACCAGACATTCGGGGCGTCCCTAGCGCATTGTTGCCAGCCTGGGCCCAGCACAAGGGCGCAGCCGCCAGGCCGTGGCAACAGAACAAGTGTGCTCCTGGCACGGGAGCTCCGTCCTGCCCTGCCCTGCCCTGCCCTGCCCTGTGGTTAACGGAGGCCTGTCTCCACAGGCAGCCCTGGCAGAGAGCTCCCGCCTGAAGCAGCAGCTGACCATGCTGCCGCTGAAGAAGGACCTGCTGGGCAGCGTCTTCGGCCAGGACAAGGCCACGGCCCTCCTGGAACAGGTGGCGAGTTCCGTGAGGGACAGGGACCTGCTGCACAATAGCCTTCTGCAGAGGAAGAGCAAGCTGCAGGTGAGCCCTGCCGCCGTCTGCCCAGGCTGAGCCCAGCCGGAGGACGGGCCACCTTCCCGGGGCGGGCAGCCCCGCGTTCTGATCTAAGCTCCACCCACGTGCCGCTTGGTGGTCCTGGGCACATCCCTTTGCCCCACAATCTAAGGCTCCTTGTCTATAAGCTGGAGGGATTATTGTGTGATCCTTCTACTGGTCTCCTGGCCACCTGTCTGGCCCTGCCCCTGCCCTCAAGTCCCCTCTCTACACTGCAGTCATGGGACTGTCTTCTGCAGAGAGCTGGGGGCTGCCCCATGAGGAAATACAGAGGGAAAAATGTAAGCTGGCAACAACCAGTTAACGGGAAGCTGTCATCAGGGACATGTCTAAATGACGATGTTAACTGAAGGTGTAATGTGGCATGCTGCGGACAGTTTATTCTTTATGTTACACGTGTTGGCTGAGCATCTGATGATGATGGTGTTGGTGATGGTGATGATGACGACAGCTGTGGTCTATGGGCACTGATGGGGGGCCAGGCATTTGCTGAGGGCTTCACATCCGTGATCTCACTGATCCAAGTAGTGAACATTCTAGGGTTGCAGGGCAGCTGGTCTCTGCTGCAGCTCCTCGACTCTGCCACTGTAGCAGGAGAGCAGCTGCCAATGAGTGGGCATGGCTGTGTTCCAATAAAACTTTATTAATAAAAACAGGCCTCTGGAGGCATTTGGGGATGTTGTACAGATGTAGTCCGCCAACCCCTCTTCTAGTGGGCAGAACAGCTGTATGTGAGGATACTATGGTGACTCGAGGGGGGGGGTGTTCACCCCCCTCAAGAGCTCTGGGAAGGCTTCCTGGAGGCGGTGACGCATGTGTGGGCCAGGAGGAAGCTGGGGAAAGCAGCTGGGTTGTGAGGAAATCTCCTAATGTGCGTGCTGTCCCTTCTGTGTCTCTTCAGAGCTTGCTTGCTCAGCACAAAGACTTTGGGGCTGTTTTTGAACCCCTGCAGAGGAAGCTCTTGGACCTCCAAATCAGGGTCCAAGCTGAGAATGAGCTTCAGCGGGATCTTCCTGGGAAACAGGCCCAGCTTGCACGGTTGCAGGTAAGGGGTGTGTGGGGCCCGAGTCTCTCTGCTCCGGTGCTCAGCTGACCTAGAAGCAGTCATCGGCAGAGCAGGAGCCGGCCCCAGCCTCACACTTAGACCCTCACTTGAGATCTGACATTTCATCTTAGCTGAATGTCTGCTCATTTACTGGTGGTTCCTGGCCTCACCAGGGCCCTTAGCACCTCCACACTGCTGATTCTCGAGCTAAAAAAAACCCGATAAACTGTCTTTTTGCTTACTCCGTGGTTCCAAAGTCTGACATTGATCCTGTTTTAAAAGCTGCCTTGCTAAGTGTTCCTGAGTCCAGAGGCCCCCAGTGAAACCTTCTTGGGTATTGAGAAGAATTGTTTTAAACACATGTGGACTGTACGTCAGGGGCTCGTGGGTCATGGGGGCTGCCTGAGGAGCTTGCTGGCTTTAACAGTTATCCCTTAAACCCTCGTATGTACACTGAGCGCGTTCTTGGGAAGACATAAAGAACGGTGTTTATGAGGCTTTGAAGCTGGGATGTGAGTTTTCATAATGAAAGGTGGTCATCAAGTAAGAGTCCAGCTGTGACTTTGTCCCCCAGTTTATTCTCATGATGCCTCAGAATCTTTCCATCTCCTTACAAAAACCCTCGCCAGTTCTGAGAGAGAGCCTATTCGATGGCGATTTGGTGCAGCCACTGGAGTCGGGGAGCCCCCCCCCAGGACCCTGCGGTGTCTCCCCCTCAGAGCCCCACCCTGATGCGCACCCGTGACGAGGAAGAGAGGACAGTCCACTCACTGCTTCCTCTGCCACAGGCGCTGCAGGAAGAGGGGCTGGACCTGGGGGTGCAAGTGGAGGCCGCCAGGCCTTTCATCCAGGGGAACCCCAACCACCAGCGCAGCATGGACCAGCTTTCCGCCGACTGCCAGGCCCTGCAGAGGTCCCTGGAGGTGAGCGGCCTGCGCTGCAGCAGCCAGAGGGCCCCGTACCCCGACTCCCCCAGTCTTTCCCCTCGGTTCTTCCTTCCTGCCCATTCTTCCTTTCTTTCTGTCTTCCTCGTTCCGCTTCCCCGTGTACTCAGCAGACGACTACTGAGGGCCTCCTGTGTGCCAGGCAGTGTTCTGGGCCCTAAGGAGGGGGCAGCGTGAACGAGATACAGCCAAGATCCCTGTTCTCCCTGGGCTCGTTCTAGAGGGTAGGTGGACAGTGAGTCAGCCGCCAGTAAGGAAATAAACAATTCCACCTGGGCCAGGGGCCAAAGGACAGACAGACTGCTCAGAGCCTGACAAAAGCCCAGCGGACAGCAGCCCGTCACTTTTGCTGCCTTACCATGAGGTTGGCAGGTGCGTCCAGGGGCGCGCGAGCCTCGTCTGCAGTGCCCTCTAGTGGCCGACTGTCTTCCTGGTGTTCGCATAGGATTGACTCTTGGGAGCAGTGGGAATGGAAACTGAGGTTCCTTCAAAATTCCCCTGAGGATAAGTTCAGATGCAGACTCCAGCCACCCCCCCCGACATGGATTCAGATGGACTTCTGGGTCTGCGTGTGTATCAAGTACCCCAGGAGTGCAGAGCCAGCCTCAGGCCTCACCGCAGGGCAGCAGTCTGAGGGGTTCCCCACCCTCCCGCCCTGCCCGCCCTATTTAAGGACAGATAATCCTAACGCCCTCTGCAGTCCTGACAGTCATAGACAGTACAAGTAGCCACACCATTTACAAATTTAATATACTGCCCTTTCTACAGTAGAAAAGAAAAGGAAAGGAATTATAAAAAAAATGTATTTCAAAATGTCTGTGCTCCTCGGCGGCCACACCAAAGGCACAGGAGGTGGGGACAAGGCCCCCTCCATGGGACAGCCTCGGATGCCTCTTGGGGTGAGGTTTTCCGAAACGCAAACAACCCAGAGTGCAGTCCTTCAGTTTATGAAATAGCTGCATCCCTGGAAAGTCAGCGTGTCTATTAAAACTGCCAAAATCGCTTTGAGTTTGTCAGATTCTAAGCTCCAGCCCCAGGGAACGGGGATGTTGGTGGGGCGTGAGAAAACCCTGTGGGGTGTGCACTGTGCTCCCCAGAGCAGGATGGGAGCACCCCACACTCTCACTGTATCTGCTGGCTTCACCCCCACTCCGTCATTAGTACAGCAACCAAAACCCCCGTGAGTTTTCAGGAAACACGGCTCCATCCCTCGAGACCCATTGGTCTGAGTGGGGTCTGAGGTCTAGGTGAATTCATTTTATTCAGTTTAATAAATTAGCAGCGAGTGGCCCCAAGGTTGAGGCGGGGGGAGGGGTACAGAAATAGGAATCACTGTCCCTGCCCTTCAGGACCACAGAGCCCACAGACGCAGCAAACTTCAGTTTCAATGCCCACAGCCAGCGAGGACCCAGGCCGATCATTAGAATAATTAGAAGAAACAGCCAGCGAGCCCCAGTAGGGGCTGCAAAATGGTGGTGACCAATTCTGTCTGACTTCCTTATTGTTGAAACACTTCTCTGCAGAAGTGCATTGCCCTTCTTTTATTATTTCGGTACCCAACGCCTTTTAAGTCTAAGAAGTTCTAATACGTCTTTCCCCCACAGCCCAGGTGATTTTTCCCACCCCCGTGGGGGCACGTACCCCACTAAGCAGTGGGGGCCCTGAGGGCACTGGGGCTGACGTGGGTGCACAGGGCACAGGAGGGGATAGTGTTAGGGACAGAACAGGGAGGTGCAGTTTTAGATCATTCTTTGGGCCCTCGTCCACGGTTTATTGAAGACAGATACAGAGCACCCTCTCTGTGTCCCAGGTCCTGGTGGCCTGGCATTCGCTGGTGTCAGCCAGAGTCTGTGCAACGCAGGAAGGTGGCAGGGCCTGTGGTGGCCCAGCAGAGAGTCACAAGGACTTGAGCCAGGGATCAGACTGTGAGAAGGGATGACAGACCTGGGGTCTGATTGGCCTGTGGTGGGCTGTCAGGGAGGGTCCCGGCTGGGTGACCAGGAGGATGGATACAGAGCCCACCTTTCACGAAGACAGAGAAGAGCAAGGAGAGAGCTGAGCAATGAGTGACCCAGGGGAGGGGAATAAAAGCAAGACTATACAATAAAAGTATAATAAGCATAGACAGAAAAGTGAATAAGTATGAAGCTTGATACATTTTAAAAAAGGAACACATCCATGTTACTGGCACCCGGATCATGACACAGAATTATACCAGCACCCCCACCATCCCCCCCCCCACAAAGCCCCTTGTGCCCTTACAGTCACTGCCCACCACTCTCGATAGCTGGAGGTAACCCTGACCTTGGACTTGGAACAGCACAGGTTGGATTTGCCGGATCGTATGTGTTATTCCAGTTGATTCAGACAGAATGTTTTCCTTAGTTAAGGCTTCTAGCTCTCACGATGGTTGTAAATCTATCCCTAGTGTCGCCTGGGTCGCATTCTCGCTGCTGCCCAGTACCCCACAGGATGGCTGTCCCTCCACGTATTCATCCATTGTGTTGATGGGCACTTGGGCGGTTTCCAGCTTGGGGCTGTTACAGCCACACCACACTCCTGCCCTTGGCGAGGGCGTGTTCGCATTGCTGGGTCCACCCCGGGGTGACAGGCTGAGTCGCAGGGCTGCCCGCGTCCACCTTCAGGAGATACTGGCCGCCTATGTTCGCACGAGGTTGTACCGGTTCAGACGAGAGATCCGATTGCTCCAGACCTGGTGCGTGAAAGTGACACAGGCTCCGAGGCCCTTCGCACGGAATTTGTCTTTCGGGGGCGAACTTGCACTGTGCAGAGGGGAGGACCAGGGTCCCTTGTTCCGCCGGCTGGGGAGCCCTGAGAGGGAGCCCTGGGGGCCATTACGCCCCAGGGCCCGGGCAGGTCTCAGGCTCAGCAGCACTCAGGTGCCCTGGGCCGGCTGTGCCGCAGGACCTCGTGGACAGGTGCCAGCGGAGCATGCGGGAGCACTGCACCTTCAGCCACGAGCTGCTGGAGCTGCGACAGTGGATCGCTCTGGTGTCTCAGAAGCTGAAGTCGTACCTGAGCGACACGGGCCCATGGGATGCCCAGGCCCGAGAGGCCGAAGTCCAGGTGAGATGACTTTCCCTGCAGAGATGGTGCCTCCCCAAAGCAGGCTCAAGAGCCCCCACCATGGGGAGCAGAGCCCCCCCCCCCCGCCCAGGACCTCAGCGCGTGTGTGTCCTTCAGAGGCTGCTGGCTGAGTTCCCGGAGAAGGAGGCCCAGCTGCCCCTGGTCAGAGCGCACGGTCAGCTGGTGATGGAAAAGTCCTCTCCGGAAGGGGGTGCTGTGGTCCAGCAGGAGCTGAGGGAGCTGGCGGAGTCGTGGCGGGCCCTCAGGCTGCTGGAGGAGAAACTGCTGAGGTGAGAGGGCCGCCTGGTCCGAGCCTGGTCCGGGACAGCACCCCTTCCCGCCCCGGGAGAGCTGGTGCCATGACACAGGGCAGGCGTGGCGCCAGGCGCCGGCGGGCATCTCCCTCTGCCCAGCCGGCACCCAGCAGGGGCGGTAGGAGCAGAGCACTGTCCCAGCTCGGGGGTTGGCCTCCAGCCCACGTGGGCTTGGGCCTCACCTCCATCAGTGGGTACCTGCACTCCAGCGACCGGGAGGTGGGTCTCAAATAGGAAACCGGACATGCAGGTGCCTTGGGGACAAACCTGAAGGACAGGCACAGGGCTGGGAAGACCGGGATTCGCCTCCCACGGAAAAACGCCGTAATTCTGTCACTTCTCCCGAGACCGGGGCGCCCCCCTCCCGTCCGTCCCGAAGTCACCGTGCCGATTGTCTCCTCAGCCTCATCAGACATCGGCAGCTGCAGAGCACAGAAGTGGGCTCAGGGAAGAAAAGTATCTTCAACAACAACATCCCGGACGGTGGGGTTCTCATCAGCCCCATGACGCCCAATTCCAGTCATCACCATCGGGTGAGTCTATCTGGTGGGGCTCCCAGGAGGGGCCAGGTCTCCAGTGGAGGGATTGGGGGAGGGGGAGAGTCTCCAGCAGAGCCCTGCTCCCCGAGTCAGGGACCACATGCTCAGCTCAGGACTTGGCAAAGTCCTGTCTCAGGTGGGCCCGCCCTACTGCGTCATGAGCGTTCCTATGCCCCTTGGACAGACAGGCCCTCACCCCTCAGAAACACGGACCCCTGCAAGGAGGAGAGGGTCAGGGTTAAAAGCTTCCTGCTGGCGCCAGATTGCAAACTGAAATTGCTTAGAGGGTATTTTTCTGTGCCCTAAGTTGTGTTTTGTATAAAGAACTAACCTAACCATACTGCCGCGTCCGTCCCGTCCCTGCGGCCTTTATTTACTTATTTATTTTTGTTTTTATCCTCACCTGAGGACATTTCTGCATTCATCTTCAGATAGAGCAGGAGGGAGAGAGGGAGGAAGAGAGAGAAACATCGATATGAGAGAGACACATCGACTGGTTGCCACCCACACGACCCCAACCAGGGCCGGGGACAAACTGCAATCGAGGCTCGTGCCCTTAGCGGGAACCGAACCTGGGACTCTCTGGTCCGCGGGCAGATGCTCTAACTGCTAAGCCAAACCGGCCAGGGCCCTGACGGCCTTTGGCAAGGGATGCACGTGGAGGAGACACGCACTCCTGGTTCTGCGAAGCCTGCACCTCCCTCCATTCATCCCCGTGTCCCATCCGCAGGGCACTGGTGCAGGGCGGCTGTGTTCCCAGGACAATGCCTGGAGCCGGGGCACAGCTCAGAATGAGCAGACAGTCCGCCCAGCAGAGTCAGAACCAGCACAAGCCTTCCATGTTGGGACGTGCAGCCCGATCCGAGTAAAATGCAGGTTGCGATTCCGTAGGTCGGGCAGAGGGGCGTGTGGTCTGCATTTCCACGGGCCCCGCTCTCTGCTGAGCCTCGCAGCACGTTTTGAGAGGCAAGGGAGTGGCAACCGCAGGCAGTTAAGTAAGAGTTTACAGAACGCGTGGCGCATGGTGGCAGAGGGCCCACGTGCTGTGGGAGCCTGCTACAGAGTGACCGTGACCCAGTTTGGGGTGGGGAAGCCCTCGGGAGAAAGGAAATGTGAGGGGATCCTCTCGTCTGAGTGGGAGCCAGGGAGAGGAGAGCGGGGTGTGTTCCCTGCAGAGGAGACTGTGTGCAAAGACCCCTGGGAGCACAGTGCCAGGGGCCAGGGCGTGTCTGTGGGCTCAGGCCAGGGACCCAGGAAGGTGGGACCAGCCGCAGTCGGGCAGAGCCGTAACCAGAGGCGTGTGAGAAGCCACCAAGGTGCAAAGTGAGGGCTCAGCTGAATGGACAGCAAGCTGGACAGACCGCTCTGGCGGGGACAGTGGCTGGAGGATGACAGCGATGACAACCACCTGGGCAGGGGCGATGGGGCTGCTGCTGGAGGCCAGGGAGGTGACAGGGAGGACTGTCCCTGACCCCTAGACACTGTGGCCACATTGAGTAGACAGTCCTCGACCCCACCCTCTGCCTCATGGTGTGCTGTCCCCTCTGATGCTTTGGCCACGCTGTGCGGTCCTGCAGGCAGATCCTCTCCCGGAAGCAGAAGGCTTCCCCCAGCTCCGGAGGGGCTTCGAGCAGTGGCTGCAGGTGGAAAACGCCAAGCTGGTGAGACTCATCGCCATGGGAACTGCCAGGGCCGAGGACGCCAGGGCCAGAGCAACGAAGCTGCAGGTGTGTTCCCGCGGAGAGGCCCCCCGGGTTTCCCCATCAGCGTGTTCGCCAGCAGGGGGTTCTTCTAAAAGAAGGAGCACAGCCCTGGCCAGTTTGGCTCAGCGGTTAGGGCAGGTTTCATTCTGGACCAGGGCACACTCCTGGTCGCAGGTTTGATTCCCTGACCCCAGGGTCCTTCGGGAGGCAACCAGCCAGTGTGACTCTCACTGATTCTCTCTCCCTCCCTCACCACCTCCCTCCCACTCTCTCTAAAAATCAGTGGAGAAACGTCCTGGGGTGAGGATTAACCCCTCCCCCAAAAGAGAGCACATACCTCGTCCACGAGGTCTTCTTGTTTGTGTATAAAGAATGTTTATTTATTTATTTATTTATTTTTGAACCAAACTTGTCTGGCTCAAAGATTTTAGAAGAACTTTGGAAGACCCGTTCACTCACTTCAACCTGCCTCCGAATCCCCCCACTTGGAAGATAGTAGCACCACTCACCACGGTTGTAGCACTCGGCTGTCGCTGTGTAACAGCCCATCCCAACAGTGGCTTCAAATAGCAACTCTGTATTTCACGCACGACTGGCGGGTGGCAGTGTGGGCTGAGCTCAGCTGGGCCATCTGTCCACCACAGGCCCTCATTCACTCCCTCGTGGAATCAGCCACAAGCCCTGCTTGAGTCCACCTCCTGGACGGTTTTTGTGTCTGTCCCTTGTCACTACCACTGTCTCAACTCGGCACTTACCATTTTTTACCTTCATTATGGAGACTTAGGAGTCTCAGCGACAGGAGGGATGGTTTGCAGAGGCTCCACCTCTGCAGGGCCTGGACTTTGACCTTTGCCTCCATATCCCGAGGGGCTGCCAAAACTCGATTTCTTCCAGAAGGGCCAGCGTCCTATTGGCAAAGCAGGCTGCTGGCTTACATCCCTGGGTTCCCTCCTTGCCCTGGGTTAGCCTGATGTTCCTCTCTCGCTAACTCTTTAGTGCCTTTATTTTATTTTTTTTGTAGTCAGATCTCATATTTCTATTATTTTCTTTTTACTCCATAGTTCTGTGTCTGTAATGCCTTTTAAACATTTTTACTATTTTGGCCTCGGTGAGAGGTTTGGTCCAACTACCTCGTTGACCCTGACCAGGAAGTCAGTCCTTCCTGCCCACCTCCTTCCTCCTGCTCGGCCACCCCCCAATTCCAGCCAGATCGGGGGCGGCCTGCAGTTCCCCGGGTGAGCCCTCCTTGCCTTTGTGGAGCTCACATTCTAGGGCCTCTGAGAAGCTAAGCAGCTTCCCCTCATCACCCAGCTGGGAAGGTGGGCAGAGGCAGGACCCAGCGCCAGACTGTAACCCCGGGCCCCTGGATGGAAAGACCAGCTCTGAGCCCTGCGTCCCACCACTTCTCAGGGATCCGGGGTCAAAGGTGCCACCCTGGGGGGCACGCTGCTAGATTCGGGCAGAAAAACCCCAGTTCCAGCATCACGCAGCCAGGCTTCCCCATGCTAGCAGGGAGCCGTTCGGCGGTGGCAGCTTCGACCAGGGCAACTCTTATGGCAGGCCCCTGGCGGACTTGCTTCTAGAATGTCGGAGTGGGAAGTGGCCGTGGAGGCCAGCGGCGCAGCTGAGCCTGGCCGACCGGCAGCCATTCTGCCGCATCGCAGAAACGATCGATCACCAGGCCTTGGCGTGGGTTCGCACAGTGGGGACTCTCACTTCATAGTCTCTGTCAGCTCCTCTCAAGTGACATTTGATTGGCTGCTCCTTACCAGCTGAGAGGGGCCGTCTGGGCCCTTTGGAAGGTGCACTTGACATTGTCCTTTCGCCCCAGGAGCTGGAGGCTCGGGTGCCGAAAGGTCAGCATCTCTTCGAGAACCTCCTCCGTCTCGGGCCAGCAAGGGGGCCCTCGGATGAGCTCGAGGACCTGCGCTACCGGTGGATGCTGTACAAGTCCAAGCTCAAGGACTCCAGCCAGCTGCTGGTAGGTGCTGAGGACGCACAGGTCCCAGGCCCGGGGATGGGACTATGGCGCAGAACCTGGATGGGCCCGCATCCACCGCCCTGTGCCTCCACAGCCCAGACCCAGGGGACCACGCAGAGGGAGACTCCCGGGGCGCAGGTGCTAGATGGCAGGATGTTGTTCCTCTTGCTGCCCCTGAGCCGCATCCTTTACAGGCATCATCCCGTTAGTCCTGCAGCAGCCCTCTGCCCGAGTAATCGTACCTCCAGTGCCAAGGGGCCCGAGGCTCTGAGAGGTTACACTCGCGAGGTCCCAGAGCTAGTAAGCGGGAGCCAGTGCTAACACGCACCCTGCTGCAGAGCCAGGACAGCCCTGGGATCTGGCCTGCACTCCCTGCCTGGGACTCTGAGCGAGCATCGTCCCACTGTGGGCCCCTGTGTCTCCTCACGAGAAACAATAATTGCTAAATTAACACGAGCCTTTAGGACGTGCCATGTCGTCCTAGCAGCCCCATAAAGAAGGTCCTGTTATTATTCCCCGAGAAGCGACGAGGAAGCTGAGGTTAGCCTGAGAGGAGGGTGGTGGAGATGGTCTCCCAGGCCCTGGCAGCCCTCGGACCGCAGACGCCCAGCTCGGATGCTGCCTTAGCTGGCCCCGCAATGGCCGAAGCGGCCACTAGGTGTCAGCCGAGCCCCAGCCGGGTGGCGGAGCCGGGGCCTGGCCCAGGCCTTCCAGACAGAGTCCCACCTGGGCCTGAAGTGCGTTAAAAAGCTCATTAAATCGAATCACCTGCTGGTTCAGCCTGTCCAGATGACCAGAAGTCTTAAAGCAACGCTCCCCTGACAAAATGAATATTCCATTACAGGTTCTGTTGGGATTTAAGTTTCACTCACTTAACTTTTTTTCCCCTTTTCCTCTCCTTCCCTAAAATAACAGACACAGCGTTCTCCAGGGCAGCCGACTGGACTCCGAAAGGTACGAGTCTGCCATCTGCTCCACACGGCCGAGGGCAGGGCGTCTGGAGGGGTGGCGGGCCCGGGCGCCAGGGTGGGACTCCCGGGCTTTCTGGAAGGTTCCGCGAGGTCTGAGGAACGTTTGTGCTGGGTCAGCTCTGGGCTGCACGGTGCTGGCCCCCGGGCCCCACTCTCAGGGAGCCCCAGCGGTGTGCAGAGGGCACTGGACGGGACAGGCACATCATAGCGGGGGACCCTAGAATGTTTCGTCCAAAACCAGGATGAGGTGAAGAGGGGCTACCTATGCGGTGACAACAGGTGTAAACCTGGACCGTTCTGAACTGGGCTGCGCGGCCACCCGAGTGCTAGACAGGTCTGCGGGGCTCAGTGGGGGACAGAAGAGGAGGGGACGGGCAGGTGTTACCACTTAGCCCCTGGAGACATGCTCGGGGCCAGTCCCGAGGGGCTTTCAGGCCAAAGCAATAACAGTAACGGCAGCGATCATAATCATAATGAGTGATAAGTATTATTACTGTAGACCAGCACTGTGTGCCGGGAACTTCACTAAATCACGGTTGGGGTGTTTCACTGAACCGTCTGGCCACACCGCGGGGCATTATCACCTCCATTCTGAGCAGGGAAAGAAGTTGGCTTGTTCCGCGAAGGCTGCCGAGTGGTCTCTGGCCTCTGACTCCAAAGCCCACATTTAACCTTTCATATATGTCTCGGAGAAAGCCCCCTGGGGCCTGGCGGGTCTCCCCACTTCTGGAAAAGCCCAGTGCAAATTCATGTCCCCGGGGCCCCCTTTCCAAGGGAACACATTTGTTTTCCTGCCAGGCACCGCCCATGGGAGACGAGCCTCCAGCCTGCTTGCTCCAAAGCACGCTGGTTGCTCGAGGCCCCTTGTCACAGTCTGTCTCCAGATGCTTTGCATGCCTGCTGTCTCCTTGGTCCCCTGCTGGTGTCCAGGTCTCACATTTGTGGAAGGGAGGGTGTCCCCTGGACTGGGCAAGCAGTTTCGAGGCCAAGGTTGTGCTCTGGGCCCCGTGCCAATCGGCTTTGTGGCCTGGAACAGTTGCCTTGCCTCTTGGGGCTCACTTTCCCCGTCTGTAAAATGGAACTATCAATGCTGACCTTATTTACTTCATGAACTAATTTTGAGGATCATGTAAACTGCCTTCTGGAGTTCTTTAGAGGACCCCAGGCCCCAGGCCCATCTCCCCACCCCCAATTTAGAATAACAAAGAGACTCCTGTGAAACAGGGAGGAGCATTGGGAATGACCAGGTGGACGGCACAGTCCAGCCTGGTGGCTCCTTCTGGGACATGGGGGACGGGGCCAATGTCTGGACTGCCTCTAGCTAGCTCTCACACTTTAAGCCCCTCGCTGGTTGGGAGTCCTCATCTACACAGCTCCTAGGCTGGAGTCCATGGGGAGCCATGCCTGGGCCCCCTGGCTGCACGTAGTCAGTGCTCACTAACTATTTCTGAGTAGGGGACACTTGTCTGGCTGACACCGGCCCTCCAGCGCAGACTCAGGTTCCCCGCAGGCTGTATAGAGTTAATGTGGAGTGTCCACAGCCCTGTGTTTATCTGCTGTCTCCTCACTCACTCACTCATTCATTTATTCATTTGTGTCACAAATGTTTGCTGAGTGCTGATTGTGTCCCAGGCACTGTGTTAGGCACTTGGGATCCACCAGTGAACACAATACAAAGCCCTGAGCAGGCGGGCTGTGCATCCTGGCTGGTTGGGGAGGGGATGGAGAGCGGTCACATCCGTGCAGCCGGTCGCTGAGCACCGTGGCGAGGCTCTGGGTCCGGAGCTTCGAAAGGCAGGAGCCTGCATAGCTGCAGGTTTCTCCTCTCTGTGGCTGGCGGATGTCGGGCACAGTTCCATGGGGTATGCAAAGCTGGCAGGCTCCAAATGGCCCCCAAATCTGCTTATTTGGGTTATGTTTAAAACAAACAGATGTGTGAACATTTGACTCCAGTGCCCGCTGGTTTTTGAGCTAACTAGTCTCAGCCCCCAATGAAGAAGTGAGCACTGGAGGCCAATAGACAGAAGCCCTCTTGGGCTCATTTATAGGACAGCCTGTTTATGCACAGAGCGTGTGTCCCTCCCCCAGAGCTTTGGGTTCAGTGGGTCTGGGGCAGCTCGAGCGTCTGCACGTCTAGCAAGTCCCAGGTGATGCTCATGCTGCTGGCTTTTGAGAACCACTGCTTTGTGCTCATTATTGGAATCGGGATCCACCGTTGGTGCGTATGATGGTTGGTGAATCCCTTAGCTACAGTTTTCCAATGAATGCAAGGAGGGTCCGCCAAGCTCATGGTGGGCAAATTTCTTGTAACAACCAGCACAGGGTAGATTCTTAATTGCCGTGTAAGTATGGACCCTGGCTGGAGACTTCTGCAGACACTGCCCCCGCCTCTCTCTCTGAGAACAAAGGGATCGGTGACACTTCTGTTGGGGGTCCTACGTTTGGCTTGGTTCTGGTGTTCATTTTGCTTGTCGGGGTGTGTGCACGTGTGTGTAGGGGTGTGCACCCACGTGTGCACACACACACACACAGAGGCCTGACAGGTAGAACACAGGCACCGTCTTCAGAGGTTGTGATCGTACCAACTTAAACACTCTTCAGTGCAGAGGGAAGGGGGGACCTGCCCCCACGCTAGTTATTTATGAGAAGTTGCTTTCCCGGGCTTTGTTCTCTCCCTGCGCCAAGTCGATGAAGGCTCCAGCTGCGTCGCGGGGCTCAGCCTGCTTGTTTGTATAAACAGAATAATTAAGATTTATTAAATCCGCAGCTGCCCACACACTTGCCAGCTCAGTGCCACGGGCTGTGTGCCTCAGCGTTCGGGCACGGGGGAAATGTAATTGCTCTTCAAGTTGCAGTTGGGCCGTGAGTCAGCTGAGTCCCTGCACGGGCCCAGGGGGTGTGCCATCCTGCGGAGGCCCAGGGTTAGCCCAGTGGTGCCACGTTCCCAGGTGAACGAGGGCCGGGCCTGTGTGCCAGTCTGCAGATGAGCAGAGCGTCTGGTACTGTGGCTCTGGGATGTCCATTCGGGTGCTGAGCAGCCCAAGGGTGGCATATTTGACTGTGTTTTATAGGTTTTAAGGCTCTTAATTTTTTGCGTTTTCAAATCTTTCGAAGTGGGGTGTCTTATTTCAATTGAGTCCTTCCAGGGAGGATGTGGATTGGCTCGCCCCACCCCCACCCCCAAGACACTAGCCACCTGAGATTTCTTTACATTAAAATCTCTGCTTGCGGGGTGTGTTTCATTTTGTTTTCCCTCGGACCACACTGACTGGGTAAATGTAGACAGCCAGCCTCTGGGAGCTCCAGCCTGCGGTTCACGTTCGCAGAGCACTTTGTGAACCCAGCACCGGGATCGGACCTCGAATTTCCTCTTCCCTTTTGTGAGGCGGGACTAGTCCTCGTCTCCCGACACCGAGTGCAGCTCCTTGGTACCCCAGCATGATGTGGGGTCTCCAGTTAGATGCTCCTTCTTGGTGGTTAGTCTTTTCTCAGTGGGATGTCGAATAATGGTGCAACGCACAAGCAGGGTCTTAGCTTGGGTGCGATACTAGAGTACCCAATCTCAGAGCGCAGTGAGTTTTCTGTTAGATGATGACTTGCTCGCCCACTAACTATGTGTGCTAGGCACCATGCTGGAACTCCCGCATGCCTGGTCTTTGACACTCACAATCACCTTCTTTTAAAAAAAATTTTTTTTTTTTTTATTGATCTTTAGAGAGAGAGGAAGGGAGAGGGAGAGAGAGATGGAAACATTGATGAGAGAGAACATCGATTGGCCGCCTCCTGCACGCCCCCCACTGGGGATCGGGCCCACAACCTGGGTATGTGCCTTGACCAGGAATCGAACCAGCGACCTCCTGGTGCATGGGTCGATGCTCAGCCGCTGAGCCACGCCGGCCGGGCCACAACCACCTTCTTTTTGGTGGGAGGGGAGTGGCCTCCTGGCCCCTCTCCATATGTGGCAATGGCCCGGTGGGGTGGGGGCAGAGGGGACCTAGCTTGAGTTTATTTCTCAGTGATTCACTGTTCAACTTTGGGGCCTGGTCACATTTGCGTTTCCTTGGTGCTGTCTCTGACCTTCAAAAGGAGAGAGCCAGGGACAGATCTCAAACCACGTGCTGCGTCATCCCTGGGGCCCTGTCCATCCATCTGCCGAGCCAGCGGCAACTGGCCATTGCAGGCTTATGAAAGAGTCTGTGCTAGCACCCGGGATGTGAAGTTTCGGAAACTTGTCTTTGACAACTGCAACCCGGAGAAGCATTAACGACATTCGCTCCTTCTACTGCTTCATCCTCCATGGCTCGGCTCACCTGCCTCCCTCCCTCCCGTCCTCTGAAATGCATCCCGGCGGGGAATCAGCAGCCACCTCCTCACTGAGCACAGGAACCTATTTCTGTCCTCATCTGCTTGGCCTCTGGGCAGCCTTGGGGCTGAGGACCGGTTCCTGAGGGAAGGAGCCCTTTATTCGTTATTTTAGTCACTCAGCAAGTATTTGGTGCACTGCGGTGAACCAAACTAATGTACGCCCTGCCTCCAAGTGTCAGGGGGCACACAGACTCGAGTCGGGATTCCAAAGAAAGGTCTGGGCACCAGGAGAAGGTATGATGGAGCTTGTTTTGGTCTAGGAGCCTGAATGTCTCCCTGAGGACGCAGCTCACAAGCTGAGAGTAGAATGATCAGTGGGAGCTAGCCCGGTACACTGGAGGAAGGAGGGAAGTGAGTATTCCAGACAGAAGGGCTAGCCTATGCAAAGGCCCTGTGGCGGGAAGTTGTGAAGGCCTTTAGGCACCAAGAGGTAGCATTTAAGGAGAGTATGGGGCTGGGGAGATTGATGGTGTCTGATCCCTGGCATCTGGTAGACGGGGAAGCTGGTGGGGCTAGTAGGAGCTGCCCGCCTGCCCTGTGGCCATCAGTTAAAGGAGGAAGGTGATGAGCATGTATGGGGCACCGACTCTGCCTGTGAACCATAGCGTGCACTGCCTCACGTATCCTAATCACTTTGACAGGCAGGTATCAGCCTCCCATTTCCCCAACAGGCAACGGAACCGAGGCTCAGAGAGGTTACATGGCCTGCCCTCGGTCACACAGAGCCAGGGTCAGACCCAGCGTTCCAAACCGTTTCTTTCCCCGCACATCAACGGCAGAAGATTGGGTCAAACTGCAGAGTCTCGGGTCTGTGTGGGCTCTGCAAGGACTCGAGAGCGTGTCATTACCACCCACAGCATTGCTCTGTCCCACACCACGTGCTGGGAACCTCTGCTTCCAGACCCCGTGGATGGGCGCTGTCCCCTCCGGAGGACACCACCTCTCTCTGGGTAGTTCGAACTGGGTAGAACACAGGTAGTGCTTTCTGGGGGAACGTGAGGGCCAGAGAGGCTCCCAGATCCGAGAAGAGCTGAAATGGTCAGTTTCTTTGTTGGCATCTTAGGACGTAGTTTATGCCTATTTGTGTGTGTGTGTGTGTGTGTGTGTGTGTTTTCTGAGCATGTGAGACTCATATTAAAATGTGTCTTTTATTTTAAAGAACACTTTGGAATTTAGGCCCCTCAAAGTGAGGGTGCGAACTCTAAGTAAACAGCCACTGGACAGGCAGCAGGGGTCCTTTGAAAAAGACCACCCCTTGTCAACACTTCTTATTTTGACAAAAATAAGTATGTTTTTCTTGATTTTAGAAAGAGGAAGGGAGAGGGAGAGAGACATACAAACATTCATGAGAGGGAAACTGATTGGCTGCCTCCTGCACGCCCCCTACTGGGGGTCGAGCCCACATCCCAGGCATGTGCCCTGACCCGGAATCAAACCAGTGACCTCCTGGTACATGGGACAACGCCCAACCAACTGAGCCACACTGGCCAGGCTTGTCTACACTTCTTAACGCAGAAACACTCTAGATCTTCAAAAATGTTTTCCCAGAGGATTGTGGCCAAGACACAACTCCTCCCTTCCCCAAGCTGAGGGTTAGCTCTGAGAATGAGGGGCAAACAGAAACTGAACACTTGTAAATACAGCCTGCATTTGGGAGACCATGAATTACAGGTTGTGGTTCTGGGGTAAACCCAGGCTAAGGAGGGCCGACAGCGTGCTGTCTCAGACTCTTGGAGGTTTGGAATCAGGCAAAGGCAGCATGAAATGTCAAGGAGTCAAGTTAGACCGCTGCAGACTGAGGTAGCCAGCGCTGTGTGAGCCAAGTGGGTGGGCCAGAGCACACACACAGCCCGGTTGGCCCCGGCCCCGTGGCTGTGGGAAGAGCCCCCTCTGTGCACTGACGGCAGATGGCTTTTCACCCCTGCTCTTGCATCACTGTGAAATAAATGCAGCGTCACTGCTCCTCTGCTGTGTGGGCTGTAAGAAGTCTATTTTCACGTTGGTAAGTGAGAACATTTGAGGCTGGAGGCATAGAGTCAAGAATTATCAATCTGGAGGAGACAGTTGGGGCAGGAGAGTGGGTGAGATGACTCAGATAGGAGAAATAGAGACAGAAGTCCCCGTGTTAGAACCTCCTAGGAACACCTGCATTTAGCAATGTTTCCTCATCCCCACCACCATCAGCCCACCACCAATATCATTATCCCCACTTCCATCATTATCCCACCACCACCATCACCATCATCATCATCATCATCACCACCTTCATTATCTCCACTACCATCACCATCATCCCCACCACCACCATCATCAACCCCACCACCACCACCCCACCACCATCACCATCATCCCTACTACCATCACCATCATCCCCACCATCATCCCCACCACCATCACCATCATCCCCACTACCAACACCATCATCCCCACCATCATCACCATCATCCCCACTATCATCATCATCATCTCCACCATCATCACCATCATCATCATCCCCCTACCATCATCATCATCCCCACTACCATCATCATCATCCCCACTACCATCATCATCATCCCTGCTACCATCATCATCATCCCCACTACCATCATCATCATCCCCACTACCATCATCATCATCCCCACTACCATCATCATCATCCCCACTACCATCATCATCATCCCTATCACCACCATCATCACCATCATCATCATCCCCCTACCATCATCATCATCCCCACTTACCATCTATCATCCTACACCACATCATCCCAACACCAATATCATTATCCCATTTTACTAACCCCACACATCATTCCAACTACCATCATCATCATCCCTACTACCATCATCATCATCTCTACTACCATCATCATTCCTACTACCATCATCATCATTCCTATCACCATCATCATCCCCACCATGATTATAATCGCCATCACCATAGTCACTACCATCATCATCGTCACCATCATCATCATCCCACCACTGTCATCCTCATCATCATCCTCACCATCACTACCATTTTCATTCTCACCACCACCATCATCACTCTCACCATCATCATCTTCACCACTATTACCACTGCCACCACCATCAACATCATCATCATCACTTGATTATAACTTCTGGTGTCTTGGAGAGGGAACCTTTGGTTCTTCAGGGAGCCAGCAGATATATTCTACAATAATAATACCACTAATAAGAGATTTACTTTTTAATTGGTGTATAAATATACTTTGCTTTGAGTGCTCACCACATCCTGGAAAATGGGAGATAAGTTGTTTTATCCCAGTTTTGCAGAGAAGGAAACAGATGCTCGGAGAAGTTATTAACTTGCCCAAGGTCACATAGCAAACGGGTGACAGACCCTGCACTGGAACCTAGTCAGCCTGATTTCTCAGAGCTGGGCCCTGCCCAGCACCATGCTGCACCAGAACTTGGGAGGCCTCCACTTTCCTGAGCGGTCAGCTCTTGGCCTGCACTCCCATGAAGGCACAACCTAGCCAATCCCTCTAGAGTTTAGAAAGTGTCCTTTGGCCACTTTTATGGACACTGAAGTCCATTAGGCATTTGGACTTATGAGACTGACCTTCATGTGGTATCGATGGTGTTGATGATGAAGATGGTGATGAAGGAGGAGGATGAAGAGCATAAAGTGAGGGTGATGAACATGATGAACATGACGGTGGTGATGATGATATGAAGATAATGGTGGTGGTGGTGATTGTGATTTAGATGATGATGATATTAATGATGCATAATAATAATAATAATAATGACGGTAGTTTTGAGTACCTCCTATGTGGCAGGCCCTGTCTCATTTTTTTTTTTTTTTTTATCCTCACCCGAGGACACTTTTTCATTCTTTGTTCAGATAGAGCAGGAGGGAGAGAGAGAGAGAGAGAGAAACATCGATGTGAAGGGACACATCGAGTGGCTGCCACCCGCACGACCAACCAGGGCCCGGGACAAACTGCAACCGAGGTACATGCCCTCAGTGGGAACCGAACCCGGGTCTCTCTGGACCGCAGGCCAACGCTCCAACCGCTGAGCCAAACTGGCCAGGGCAGGCCCTGTCTCATTTATGTCTCACAACAGCTTTGTTGGATAGGTATCACTACCCCTTTTTATAGATGGGAAATTCGAAGTTTAGAGAAGCTGAGTGACCTTCTCAAGATTTACACCTAGGACTCATAACCAGGCAGAGATTTACGTAATAACTGGCAGAGCCTGTAACTCTGTGTATTTGTTCTTTCGTGCCCGAATGGTTTGAGAAAACTAGAGATCTTTGTTTCTGGCATAACTGGCATTAGACCCACTTTGCAGACAGGAAGACTGAGACCTGTGTGGTGAGATAGCCCAGATCCGCTGCTCCCCCAGCGTCCTCTTCGCCCCTCCACCTCCCGATCAGAGCCCCCAGCCCACTCACGCCTCCTGCTCTGGTTCCGCAGACCCAGCGGTGGCGAGGCCCCGGCGCCCTCTTCCGGAAGGTGTGCTGCGTGGCGCTGCCCCTGCAGCTGCTCCTCCTGCTGCTGCTGCTCCTGCTGCTGCTGCTCCCCGTGGGCGAGGACGACCGCAGCTGCACGCTGGCCAACAACTTCGCCCGCTCCTTCACGCTCATGCTCCGCTACAGTGGCCCGCCGCCCACCTAGTCCCCTGGGCTCACAGGTGACTTTCTTCTCCAGCCTCCCGTCAGCCCGGGCTCCTCCTGAGGACACCGGGGACACTGGAAACGGGCAGGCCAGGTGGCACAGCTGCCCAGGATAAATACTGTACCGATGTTCCCAGCACAAAACCACTTTTTATACGGTGTTGTCTTCGTCTATTTATACTAAATGTGTACTACGTGTGACCAGGGAATCGTGTATAGAATTTTTATATGCTCTGTATGTAAATGCTCAGTATGTATAGTTTCATGGATGGCATCTACTTGTAGTTGGGAGGAAGGTGTGGCACTTCTGCCTTGGTCTGCAGTCAGCCCTGGAAACCCTAACATGTCACTTGGACGCAGCCTCTTACCAGAAGCCAACCCCGCGCCAGACGTCGCTGAGAGGGCCGCCGACGGGCAGCCCCGCCTGTCGCTGAGCGCCCGGTGGCTCTTGTGTTAGGCACGAAGAGAACAAGCGTGCTTGTCTAGTGTTTAAAATGACAGCAGGTTAGATGCTGTGGGGTAGAGGCAGACAGGGTGATGACCCATGGAAGGCCCAGTGACAGCAAGAAGAAGTGATGGGTGAGAGAAGGACATCAAGGGAAGTACCATAACGCGCAGGCCCAGAACGAACTAAGAGGCACTGCGGACGGGGCCGCGTGCGGAGCCCCCGATGGCACCGGAGACCAGTTCCGTGGTCGCGCGGAGTCCTTGGGCGGCGGTCAGATGGCTCAGGGAGAAAATCGAGGAGACAGACTTCACTGTTAAGATCTCCAGGGGGCAAGGTGAGCACGCTCTGGACGTGACAGGGAGGATGTGTTACCCCTCACTTGGGCTGATGTGTCGTCTCCGACGTGAGCTGAAGCGACAGGAGAGCCCTGTCCAGGACAGGGATGAGATCAGCGTGGAGCTCCCAGAAGGGACTGTGGACAGAGGCAGGTCCTCTGGACCAAGAATATCCCACACGTGCCCCCACAAGAGTGCCCAGCTCCAGGCGCCCCAAACCGCCCTCTCCGACCAGGGCCCAGTAGTTGGGCTCCATGCGCCATCTGGGGAGCAGGCCCAGTCTGCTGGGCCCCAAAGCCCGAAACGTGTCCCTTCTCCCAGGGAACTCTAGGTCCCTAAGTGCTTCATAACTGGATCCCGATTTCCCGAAATCAACACTAAGTTCTCCTCTTTGGAAGATGCTTGGTGCCCACTCTACAGATCCGGTGTGTCTGCTCAGCTACAGATGGACCAGAGGGTTCCTCAGGCCTTAGGACCATACAGTGTTTAGACCCAGGGAGGGGAAACTGAGGACCCGAGAGAGCCCTGACCCCAGCACCATGCCCCTGCCTTCTGCCCTGGCACACACTGACCCCTTCCTTCCTAGCACAGGCCCAGCCTGGGCACAGCTCTCTCCACGGGGACCCAGGCCTCCCGGGCACCAGAAGGAACTGGACGTTCACGGTGTAGGAAGACGGTGTTGCTGGGAGACGCACTTGGCACTGACTCCAAGAGCACACCTTTCTCCAGCCACTTAGAAACCAAGCCCCAAGGCCACACCCACAGGTGACCACTTTCCTGGAAAGTCGGGGGCTTCGTGACCCAAGACCTCAGACACTCCCAGGTTATGTCAGTCCCGCCCCAGGAGGTCAGAGCTGTGGCAGGGGCCTTCCACTGTCTCCATCCCCTCCCCACTTCACAGCTGAGAAGGCTGAGGCCCAGAGGGGGGCAGTAACTTGCCCATGGGCACACAGCCAGGTGGCCAGGTCACCACCACCCCCAGGGTGCGCCCTGCTCATAGAGCACACCGGGGGATCCCCCACCCCCATGTCAGTAACTCCACAAAGCCGCGCTGGTTAGCAGGAGTGCCGTGTCCCAGGTGGGGCGGGACGAAGGGCAGTACGTGGGCTGGTGGACAGGAGTTGCGTGTATTTGTTAAACTTCAGTAACGATGCCACAGAGTCTGCTTGTTTGCATAACTGTCTTTTTTTAAGAGAACTGATATTTTCATTACTTTATATAAATGCTAACAACCATTTACTAGTGCTTTCCCAGTGTCGTCTCTGTGGCTTCAAGTGCGTGCCGACGATTACGGCTTGTATGATTTTCCAGCTTCATGAACGAGAGCCGTGGAGAGCTCTGCCCGGTGAGAGGTGCCCAGTGGGACCTGCGTGTGTTTGTTTTCTCTGTCCCCAGAGTGCGAGGTGTGGGAAGAAAGGTGGCCGTCACCGCTCAGCCTGGCTGTGTGTGTGTGTGTGTGTGTGTGTGTGTGTGTGTGAGAGAGAGAGAGAGAGAGAGAGAGAGAGGGAGAGGAGGAGGAGGAGGGAGGGGGAGGGGAAGAAGGAGGAGGGGGGGAGGGGAAGAAGGAGGAGGCAGAGGAGAGCAGGGAGAGAAGCACACAGGAGCGTGGTCCGTGTCCGAGCTGCTGTCCCTCCGCTTAGCCATTTCCCACTCCCCTGCCCAGTTTCCCTGCTCTCTGCGTGCAGAGAGACACACGTGGGGGGAGTGTTTATGAAGAAAAGATGGGAGGTGTGGGCAGCAGACAAGGCCAGGAGACTCGCGGGGGCGGGGGGCTTGGACGCAGGGGCAGAGGGAGCCAGAATCTCAAACAGAGAGCGCCTTCCGCTCGGGACTGCAGGCTCACACGCCACATATGATGGAATCCCCACAACAGCTCTCGGGGCTTGATGTTACTGCGTTCCATTTTTGAGAGGAGGAAGCTGAGGCTTGTTAATATAAAGATGCTTGTCCCGCAGACGTGGGATTCGAACCCAGGTTCGTCTGCCCCGAACGCCCGAGCTGGAAGGAGGGTTCTCGCGGTTCTCCAGGGCTCGGCCTCTGCAGACTTGGGGGTGTTTCCTGAGCAAGCGTCTCTGCCCATGCCCAGTGGGGATGGCCCTCGAGGCTTCCCTGCGCTCAGCTCCCCTTCAGGGCTGGCCCTGGGCTCTGGGAAGAGTCACACCCGTCACTTCACAGGCTCCCCTGGGAGCCGAGCACCCCTCTGTCCTGGGGTCCTGGGGCCTGGCCCCTGGAGCTGGAACCGCAGTGCCTAGCACAGGGCAGGAGCTTCAGCCGCGGTTGTTGAATTGCAAGAACGACGCCAGCAGTGAGTGTGTTTACTGACACCCAGCTCCGCTCCTGGATGCAGAGAAAATGGGTCCTGGGTGAGGGGACCCACTTCATCTCTCACAACCTCGGCCTCCCTCCGGCAGCGGGCTGCGGTTCCCAGCAGGGAGCGGGGGCTGGGGATGCTTCTCCCTGGTGTACTGATGCCCACAAGGTGGGTGCAGGCCCTCAAACACGGCAGGTTCATTGTATTTCTATTGCTGGCCCAATCCGTAATCTACAATCAGGCTCATGGGGAAAATGTGTGGTTGCGCCCTGGCCGGGTGGCTCAGTCGGTTAGAGTGTTATCCTGTGCACAGAAGGATTGCAGGTTTAATTCCCAGTCAGGGCACATACCCAGGTTGTGGGTTCAAACCCCGCTTAGGGAACGTATGGGAGAGAGCCAGTCAATGATTCTCTCTTTCTCTCTCTCATCAATGGAAAACATTTCCTTGAGTGAGGATTGAAAAAGCATTATTTTTAAACTTGCGGTTGGAAATACCAAACTGAGGGCCCACTTTCCCCACGGAAGACTTTCCAGGCGTGTGGTGCATCTTCCAGCAATTGGTTTGGCTGTGAATGAGCAGAAGCTTCCAGAGCAGGGGAGGCGATAGACCCGGTGAGCTGTGCCGAGGTCCCTGCCTGCTCTGGGCACCCCGAGTGTCAGGAGCCTCTTCTGAAGTGTGCTGTCTCCCCGGCGGCAGCAGTGAGCTCGAGCGAGCATCGTGTGTCCCTGGCCCCGTCCCGATCGAGCCTGTTCCCTCTTTCACGGGAACTCAGTCCAATAGGGGTCCTTTTGCTCCCTTCACCCTAATCTTACTGTCACCAGTCTGGGTCAGCAACGAGCCTGACCCAGCATTAAACACGTGGGCACCGACCTCCTTTACTGCATCCGCGGCAGACATCACTAACCGATCGCCGAGTCTTTCCCTCCCTCCCTCCAGTCCAAATGGACCCCAATGCCAATCAGTCACATTTGTTGTGTGAGAAAAACCTGTTTGACATCTTGTACCTGATGCCACTCCCATCAGACAGACTCTCAATGCTGGCCTCCTCCTTTAAAAAAAAAAAAAATTTAATTAGGATATTCTTAATCAACAAACGCTTTCCTTAGTGTAGTACCTGGGTGAGACAAGCTGACCCCCACAGCTGGTATTGGGGTGAATTACCAGATAGGACTTGTGGAGCAGGAAAATGGAGGAGGAAATGCCAAATTACCAAGTGTTTTAGGCTGTCGGAGAGGGGAGGGCTTCTATGGACTGTCTTGTTCCAACGTGTGCCCATTTTACAGGTGAGGAAGCTGAGGCTCCAACAGCTTCTGTTCATCCAGTGAATTCGGGGAGTTAGGTCCAAGAGTGGGGATAGATCCCATCGAGTGACAGTTCCAGTGCTCAGTGCTGGACGCGGTGGAGAGGGACCTCGGCAGTTTATAGCTGGGGCGCGGTCTCTGTCACCCTGCTCCCGCCATGGGTGGAGGGAGCCATGAGTCCTGGAACCTTCTGTGCTACTTGCGGTGTTGGATATTCTGAGAAGATGGTGGTGGGCTCCTGTCTGGAAGGGAAATCCCTGGATTCAGCCACAGGTATCCCACCAACTTCGACTGAACAGATGAGACTCTGCTCTTCCGTCTTCCGAGACGTCCAGAGCGACAGTGGGCCTCGTGTCCTCAGCTCGAGGATGCCAGGGCCAGGTTTCTGCAGCTCTCTCCTTTTCCTCAGTCACCTCGTGGCCCAAGATGCTTGCTCTACCTCCGATTTTTCATCTGGGTTCCAGGTAGGAAGAAGGGGACGAGCTAGCTGAGCCTGCCCCCCTTTTTAGGAGCATTCCCCGAAGCTCCCCCCAGACTTCTGTGGTCATCTTATTGGCCAGGAAGAAGTTCATATCTGGTTTAACCTTTTCTGGAACATGAGGAACTTCTGGGTACAAGTCCTGGAAAAGAGGCTCTCTGAGTCTCTTCAGGCTGGCCCCCCACTCTCTCACACCACTGAGGCCTTGACCGAGGAAGTTCCAGGACACCCTCAGGCCCACGGGCCTCCGGCAGAGGCCCAGACTCCAGGGACGTAAACCAGCCGCCATTGCTCCCTCGGTTCCAGCTACCAAAGAAATGCCTCCTGTCTGTCAAAGTAAGAAGGGCGGATTTGTTTTTAAAGGAAAATTAAAAAACAGAAGTGCACGGTCTGAAAACAGATCTTAGGGCAGAGCCGTGAACAGTGTCCCCAGCACCTGCGTTTCGGTCGTCAGGTACCATCGCAGCTGCTCACAGGTTGGTACCTAAACACTTCGTCCAAACTGGAGACAGTAATCACACAGCGGGACCTGCTTGCCCACAGGGTCTGGGACTTCCTCTCAGGAAAGCTCACTTCTGAGCTCAGCAGCCAGGACACAGGCCTGCAACCCCTTCCCGTGCCGGTGACAAAGGGGCGGAAGGAACACACTGAGGGCCTGCGACATGGTTCTGACTCCTTCCAAAGGCCTGTGCTAGGGAATCATGATCTGGTTTTTAGATGATGAAACCAGAGCACAGAGAGGGTTAGGAGCCTGCCTAAAAGCAACCAGCTGGTTGGTGAGAGGCCAGTTTGGACTTGAACCCAGGGATGATGGGTCCAGGCCTCTCCCCAGAACTGCAGCCTCAGCTTTGCAGGCCACAGGTGGCCGCACGGCTGGTGAGCTGGTGGAGGGTGCTGGTCTGGAGCAGGACCCCCAGGGCTTGTTCCCAGTGCCCACTCCCACCAGCGAGTTCTCCAGCTCCCGTGGGCATCGTGCGTGCCTTCCCCTGGAGAACAGACAGGCCACCTCCCGCAGGGCAGGTGGGGGACAGAGTGGGCTTCGCGCAGTCAGTTCCTGAGGAGCAGCCGACTCCTCCCTGGAGGCGTGGCTGAGCATGTTGTAGGAGTTTTAGTGGCGAGGAGAAGCGGACAGAGGAAGTTGTGTGTGTGCATGAGTGTGCATGTGTGTGCGTGTGTATGTTTGTATGTTTGTGTGTGAGTGTGTGTACTATACACACATCTTCATCGAGAGGCCAGGCAGGCCGCCCTGTGTCCAGCCCTGGGCTTCCAGACAAGACACTGTCAGCCGCGTGGTCTCTGGGGACCTCAGGCTGACCACACTGGACCCGGGACGTTCGTGATTCCAGCATTTTATACCTTGTGTGGGGCTGACCCCTGAGGTCTGTGCCTTCCGGAAACGTCCCCAGCGGTCTGGAGGTGCTGCTCTGTCTTCTCGGTTTGGTTATGACCTGCTTGTAAGCGAGGACTCTGCCCAGTGGGTCCTAGACGGGCCGCATCTCTCTTGCTCTGTGTGTCCATCCGTGCATCTTGTGTTTTAGAAACCGGTGATGTCCATGCACACTGTCGAGCACCTAAGGGGCCAGAAGCAGGAAACAGCACGTTTCCAGCTTTGGAGGAATGAGCGCTTTCCCTCCGTTTCAGGTGCCAAGATCAGCCGTCCACGGGGCTGCACCGGTCTGGCTAAGGAGCCAGGCAGCGGCATGGTGGTGCGTGTGCGTGTGCGTGAGTGTGAGTGTGTGTGTGTGTGCATGCGTGAATGTGTGTGTGTAGACTCTGGGTAACTGGGTTTTGGCATCAAAAGCAAATTAGCTTCATTGTTTAAAATGTTCTGTTATGTAAACAGCATACACGGGCCCACATCCACTCCTGTCACACTCTTTGTGCTTGTAAAACATGCATTTGCAATAAATTAAACGTTCTGGGGAGGCGAGCGGTGTCGGAGCCAAACACTGTCCCGGAGCATGTGTGTGTGAGCACATCCGGTCCGCACCCCGCTGCAGCCGCCCTGCCGCCCCCGCCCGAGGGACATGTGGACCTGGGGTTCCTTATCAGTGCCCCCCAGGGACGTGCGGACCCGGGGTTCCCTCTCAGCGCCCCCCAGGGACCTGTGGACCCCGGGTTCCTTCTC